CTTGCGTGACATGGTGATTTGCGTGCATCATATATACAGCTAATTTAGGAAAAAAAAAAAAGAAACCGTCTGGTCGGGGTAAGGCTGCTCTGAATAGAAAAGAAAAGAGGAGGAAAACGGCGAGCGAGCTTTGACGGAGCTTGTCAAAAGAAGCAAAAAGGCAAATTTTTTTTGCTTGGAGAGGCCATCTTTAAAAGACGTACTGTCATGACAAGATTAGAGACGGTGTAATGGAAGAAGACGCGGGAGGGGAGAGAATAGAATCTTACAGGAATAAAGAGATAGGGCACGCGACGCTCATACTCGACCCAGGCGTCGCCGTACTTTCGACGGCAGCGATGAATATCACGCGCGGCGCGGTGCGCAATCATGCACAGGAAAAAGACTGGGTAAAACCAGGGAAAAGGGCTGTTGAACCCAGTGATGAGACCCCACGACATGGAGAACCAGATATCGGCAGTGTAGTGAATCTTGCGTGCATAACCGTACCAGCCATCGATGAGTATGGTACCCTCGGGGCTTTTAATGACCTTGGGATTCTGAATGGTCTGCCAAGGGACCTGGGGAAAAGTCTTGCGCGAGACCATCTTGCCGCGCTCCATGGCGCGGTAGCGGTTCTTTTGCGAGTTGCTGCTGTCCCAGACCCAGTACCAGAAGAGATATGCAGCGGTAAAGAGGACGAGGGCGACACGATTCCAGCGGTACTCTGCAGGGTCGTGGTTAGCGAGGTAGATGGTGCAGTGGCAGTACGAGAGGGGCACGCCGGCCAGGTTCCAAAAAATGAGCATGAAGCCCCATTTCTCGTAGTACATATCCCAGGTGGTGACGATGAGCTCCTCGCCCTTTGCGCAGGCGTTGGCGTAGAGGTAGTGGGCCATGACGAGGAACATGACCTCGCCCGACACATAACCATACTGCTCGTACTGGCGGGCGGCGGCACCGAGACTAAGAATGAGCAGGATATACCAGGGCATGCGGACCTCAAAGAACATTTTGAAGTCAAGGATACCAAACATGCGGGGGTTGAGCTCGGCGCCCATGAAAAAATCGTAGACGGGATAGCCGGTCATGCGGTGCTGCTTGCCACGGTAGAGAGCGGAGAAGTAGGCGACAAAGGCGACAATGAAGCCGCTGAAGATGGCGACCGACAGCAGAGGACCAAACTCGTCAATGGCGTTGTACAGTGGCCATGCGCCGCTAAAGTGCAGGCCGGCAAGCACAGCAAGGGTAAAGTAGAAGCTGGCGTAGGCGTTGCAAAAGTACGGGAGCTGCTTGCCACCAAGAAAGGGTAGCGGTTTGCCGTAGCTCCAGACGCCAGGGAGGAGGCAGTAGCAGGCGCCCTCAAAGATGAGGTACGACCAGTACCAGAGCCATGCCTTGGTATGCGGAAATGCGCCGGTGTAGACGAGGTTAAAGAGGTGGCGGGCAAAGTCGGGCCAACTCATGCCAGGCTCGCGCGAGGGAAACTTGCCGTCGTAGTAGGTGGCGCCCACCCACATGTACCACATGAGGATGGGGAAGAAGAGCATCATGAAGAAAGTGCCGACGGAGCCTCCAAATTCAGTCTCGCCCGAGTAGTCAATCTTGGGGTCCTGGCCGGGCTTCCAACCGTCAACGACGCTAACCTTGACATCCTGGGCCGTTGCTGGTGACTGCTTGGGCGTGCTTGGGCGCGAGGCGGCGCGCTTCTGCACCCCATTGGCAGCGCCGTGGCCGTTGACAGAGCTGCTTCCATTCTCCATCTTGCTGGACTTGGTACGAGGCTCAGCGTCCTCTATGTCGGTATGATCTTGCGACGGTCCGTCGTCCGACTCGGCGACGGTGCGGCGGCGGAGAGAGCGAGAGCGCGTGGAAGATTTCACCGGCGAGCCAGAGGTGGTTGACTCGTCTTCGTTTTCAGAGATTTCGGGCGGTAACGAGAATTGGCGTCGTGAAGCGCGCGTCTTTGTCTTGGTTGGCGTCTCTACCATGCCATCAAAAAGCTCCTTTTTCCTGCGTATACGTGTTAGACAGGAGAACAGCCTTTACCAACGAAAATTGCGTCCGCGCAAGAGAGTGGAGGACAATTGTCAAAACGGCAAGATCGAGACTATATGGGAAAGACGGGGATAGGAAGGATCAAGCAAGAGCAAAGGACGTACCGTGGCGAGGTTCGTAGAGAATAGCGTCCTGACATGGTGAAGAAAAAAGGGAGAGGGGGAGCGGACTCGTCGACCTCTTTTTATACTTGATAGCAAAGCCGAAGCGAAAAGAAAAGGAACGACAATAAATCAAATCGAGCAGACAAGCGCTCCGAGCGATCCGTGGGACGCCGACTGCAAGATGCGCCACGAGGAAGCAAGAAGGTGGGCAGAGGCGACAGGGAGAAAGGCAGAGGTTGCAAGTCGGAGACGAAATTGCAAGTGCTGGGCGCGCGCGATGCGAATACGTGACAGGGAGAGATACGTGTTATATCATTGGTCAAAAAAGCAATAAAGTGGGCTAGACAGGGGCCGTCCGTAGGGATCTTGGGGCGAGTTCAGGCGACATGGACAAACAGTGATAAAATTGACAGTATGCACTCGTACAGTTATAATGGCATGTAGAACCAGCGCTCCATGTGATGAAGGGAACTGTAGCAACATGGCTCGGGTGAGCTTCCTGTTCCAACGTACAGAGGCGAGAGGCACCTGTGTATACTTTTTTTTTCTTCTTTCTCGGTGGGCGTTGTACTCCAGCGGCGGCCAGTGCCTCTCCAACACTTGCACGGATCCCGAGCGTCCGTTTGTTGTTGACATTGTGTGGGGGTCGCCTGAGCTTCCTGCCTCAGGCTCCAGGTCCTCCTGGCTGGCATGGTCAGACTGCCATGAAAATTAAATGCTGATGATGCATTAATGCATATATGCAAATTTTGAATGAAGAATAATAAACCAAACATGCCATACAAAGCATGTCATATACATGTCATACAGAATAAACTCCAAGTACAAACCCACCTAGTACACGTAACGAAACGTAGGATTCTCCTTGTCCGTCATTCTTGCCCACACCTCCTTATCCAAGAACTGGTCCTCGGTCTGGCGGGCGCGGCTCGCGCGACGCTTGTTGGCCCAGACGTAGTAGCCAAACAGCGCCACCGTCACCAGCGCGCTTCCGGCCTGCGTAAAGACGAGCGCGAGCTTGGCGGGGCGGTAGTCGGGCGCGTCCTTTGCCTGAAACGTCTGCGGGCCGATGATGTTGCCAATGGAAAAGGCGGCACTGATCATGGCGACGGAGTAGGCGCGCTTGGTCGCGCCGGCGACATTGGCCAGGAGCCAGTTGTACTGCATCGGCATGGGCGCCACGACGGCGTTGACCAGGTAGACGCCCGCGAGCAGGCCGGCGTGGTTAGTCTTGGGCAGGAACGACATGAGGGCGCCGCCGAGGATGGCCGGCAGGATGCAAGCCAGGATCCACATCCAGCGGTGCGAATTGCGGCGCACGCCGTAGCCAATCATGAGGATGAAGAAGATGGACACGGCGCCCGAGGGCGTATTCATGAGGGCCGCGTGCTGCGAATTTTGTGCCGGCGTTTTCTTGGCGTCGTGTGTGATTTGGCCGACAAGCATGACCGAGTACGTGGTAATGACACCGCTCGAGACGGAAAAGAGGACGGTAATGAGAATCTGCAGCCAGATTTGCAAGTCCAAAACCGCCTCAACGAGCTCCGAGATGCGGAACTTGCTGTTGCGGATGCCCGTCTGGTTGACGCTTACGTGCTTAAGAAGAGCGACCTTTTCGGTGACGGACAGCCAGCGCGCCTGCATGGGAGTATCGGGGACCAAGACGATGACGCAGAGGCCAATCAGAACGGTAATACAGCCCAGGACGATGAACATGACGCGCCAGCCGGCCAAGGATGCGGTTGGCGAGATGTGCTGAAAAGCGTAGGACAGGACGCCGCCAATGATCTGGCCGAAGCCGAGGCCGAGGTACCAGAAGGAGAAGCGCGGGGCCTGCTCTGACTTGGTGTACCACTGGCTGCTGATGAGGGACAAAGACGGCGCAATCGTGGCCTCGAAGATACCGAGGAAGATGCGCGAGGCGAGGATGCTGGGGTAGTTGTGCGCAGCGGCACCGCAGGCGGTAGCGACACCCCAGAGGGTGACATTGAGGCCGAGCCACTTGGCCGGAGGAACCTTTTGCAACAGATAGACTGCGGAATGTCATGTTAGCCTTGAACAATACCTTGTGGATTTGGCGCGCTCAAGGTGATGGGATGCGACGGATGGCATGTGCGGTGGTGATGGTGGACGCGATTCATCCGTGAGCATCATGGTGGATATCTGGAATAAGCTTACTGTTGGGAATTTCGAAGCAGAGCAGGCCAACAAAGAGGAAAGTGGCGACATTGGAGAAGCGATTGCCGGTAAGATCCAGGTCCTTTTTTATGCCCATGACGGCGGCATACTGATGGATAAAATGGTTAGGGCTCATGTACTTGACTTTGAGTGCATTCGCCTCTTGCAGGAGAAGGCTTGTAAGTGAACAAGAGCATACTCACGTTGTAGATGACCTTGTCGAGGAATTGCATCGTATAGCAGCCAAACATGATGGGGACGATGCGCCAGTCGATGCGGGAGCGCAGCTTCTTCAGGTCAACGGCGTCAACGCCGACCACGTCGCGGTGCTCGTTGAGAAAGAGCCAGGCGGCGTCGACGTCGGAGTTGGGCAGCGCCTTGTCGGCGTCTTGGTGATGATGAGCGCCGGCGGCGGCGGCAGTGAAGCTGGTCGAGGGTGAGGAGCTGGCCAGGTGCTCATTGACCTCGAAGCTCTTTTCATTCTGCTCTGCGGCGGACATTTTTTATTCTGAAAAGGTGCACAATTATCCGGTGCAAGTCCAGAGGAAAAAAAAACAAGGGAATGATAAAAAGAAAAACGAAATGGAATTGAGCAAGTGCCCAAAGGCCGCAAAGTCCTTGTCGTGCGTCGGTCGTAGAAGGGCAACCCCTTGATCTTGTTACAAGCCCGACTGAGAAGAAGGCCGACAGTATGAATCAGGCGTCAAACTGGCTTTGAGAAAAAGGAATCAAATACGAGATGGAATCAGCAAGAACACACCGGGGCCTGCATCTTTTTGTCTGGATGAGAGTTTCTGCGCCGCGCTCAGGGCAGGTGGTGCGCGGATTTATTAGCACCGTCGGCGATCATTTATCATCGATGCAAGGGTACCCGGGGACCCAAATGATTTGAGTGCTCGGCAGGAACTCGAGTCCCTGTGGGAATTAAAAAAGGAAACCAAAAAAGGGAATGCTCTGCGCCGCCAATCTAGCAAGTAGAACGTGCGGGCGGCGGCCCCTCCTCCTCCATTTATTAATCTATCGCCCCCCCCTCCTCCCCTCTTGATCCCTGGGTTACGAATGGCCTGTGGAAAAAGGGCCGCTAATATAGATACTGATTTACTGTGTGAGCGACACGGGCCAGACTAGCACGAATTCTGACAATTTCCCGTTAGTTCTGTTGGTGGGTGCGTGGCATAACTAGAGAGGGACATGAACGACATTGGCGAATAGGGCAGGGAAGAAAGACTAAGTAAGTTATTAGGGGGATCACCGGAAGAAAAGAAGCGGGCCGCGCCTACCCTTCTTGGATAAGAACAAAGAAAGAGAAGGGAAAGCCAGCCCCAGCCAGATCGTATCATCTTGATGATGAGGTCAAGTGGCCGGATGAAGACCCCGGCATGGCTCTTGCTCTTGGCGAGAAATCTTCCGAGACAGAGAGCCAAGTCGGTCGTTTGGCCTGATGTTGTTAGATATCATTTTTTTTTTGGCAGGCAATGCAGGCCCCCATGTCATGCCATGAAATGTACTCAATGTTCATGCATGCGGCCGTCGCCGTTGTGGTGGAACTTGTCACTTTGGTTCTAGTGGTGGTGGATGTGCATAATGGGGCTTCTGCCACGTTGTTGCTTAAGATGCAGGCGGCTCTTGTGCTGGCTGCAATGCTGACCGTATCTGGTCTTGTTTCTAGTTTGTCGCCCTCTGTCAGTTGCACAGATTTGGCGTTGCCAATGGCTACTTGATGCACTGCGTTGTGCGGTTGGCAGCGTGGAGAGATGTGACAATGACATATCTGGGGAAAAGATGTGACATTACGAACGGCAGCAGCAATCGTTGAAGAATTAACTGATGCTTTGTGCGCCGTGGCGACAGAGTAGCATGTAGCATGTCCATGTATCATCATTACCCGGGGTTCTCGCAAGTTTCAAGCAAGAGCAATCGAGAAGAGGAACTTTATCCGTCCTTGCCAAGACAGCCAAGGGCCGCAAGGCTGGTCCACTCGGTCTGCTCTAGAGAATTTATGGGCTATTCTCCGGGTCAAGGTGGTGCTGTATGATATTGTTATGATATGATGTATATCACGTAACATTAATAACAGGCCAATTCGTATTACAGCGCGCCGTCTCCTCGGAGGTCAACAAACCGATCCAGAGACTATTGATTCGAAATTTCAATCGCTGTCTACCCCGTTGAGGCCCCGAGGACGCCGTTAGTTTTATCTAAATCGATTTCTTTTTTTTTTTTTTTCTTCTTGGTTTGAACAAAATACATTCTGGTCCGTATAGACGGCGGCAAATCTCAGCGAAAAGAACTAGGACAAGGATACAATATTCATCTGCATTGTCATTGTCATTATCGGCCTAGCATTGGACTTTTTAATTTCCAACTGCACAGTCATTTTTTCAAAGCAATAGTTGTTGCGATGCGCCGGGTGCATATGAAATACAGCAATCTCAAACTCACTGTTAATATAAGTGGCTAGGTACCAAAGCTATTGCCCCAAGCACGGCGGCCGGGAGCACATTCCACCTCCCTCCCGTCTCTCAAGGGGGGTTCCCGTCTTCCGTGCACGACCCTCTAGATCGATCTATGTTACGGGGCTTTTTTTTTTTTTTACTGAATTCTCTTTTTGAGCCGGGGGAAGGGGGGGGGGCTGTAAATGTGACAATCACAATGCTGCAGCTTGCGACACAACAGAATCATGCACAACGCACGCATACGCACATGCCACAATCATATCACTGATATCAGCAACGTCAATAAATATAAGAGGTAATTTCATGGGGGGGGCCTGGTTTCAGAACCTGCTGAAGATGTGATCGGCGGTTGCTCTAAAGAGGCCCACAACTGCCCGTTTTTTTTTTTTCTTCAAGCGACGACCGCAGCACCGACCAGCTCAGGACGAATGGATAACAGACTGTCCGTATTTGTTCGAGTAACTTGTTAATTATTTAGTGAAATTTTTCAACAGCCATTTCTGTTTGTAAGCGGGTAGGGGACGTGGCGCGGAGGAGTCACGGCTTCTTTTCTCTTTCTTCTTCTCGTCCTTCTCCTTCTTCTTCTTCTTCTTCTTCTTCGTCGGTCGCAAAGTCGCCAAGCAGATGTTTCCCCAGCGTTCATCTGTTTTCATACACGTACCCAAGGAATTCCTTTCTTCCGCCCTGTCAATTCCTCAATTGCAACTTATTTGTGCGCTGCCTTGAAAAAAAAAAAAAAAAGCCGTGGCCCATCTATCTCTGACAGGGGACCTCACCGAATCAATTTTCGGCTGACAACTAAGCTCCGTTATCCGTTGAGCAGAACCGCTCCGTCCAACTTGGTCCAGCAGCAAAAAAACGTCGATGATTGAGTAGGGGTTTGTTTAGAGACCTGGGATCCCATGTCTCTTCTAGCTTTGATTTTCTCAAAACTTGGTCATTACCTCTTTTGTCTCGTGGCTCTCGTAGTCTACCCGTGAAGCTCATCATGGATCGACATACTCTCTATATACACACAGCACGAACCATCCACCGCCCCGTCGCTTGCTGACAACTATTACGATGATTTCGCTCATGTCCCCCACCCACCCCCCCTCCCGTTCAAACTTGTCCCATTCTGTCGCCACGGCGCAGCATGTGGCACCAAGACTCGGCACTACGCCCCGCTCCCCTCCCCCGGGGCCCGGGCTTGCATAAGCCTGCGCAAGTTCTCTCACTCTCTCCGACGCAACCCTGAGATGCTGACAGCCCGCTCTCCGGCCTTGACCACCAGCATGGGTTGATCATCGCTTGGTCATCTGCGAGCCCATACTACTACTCAAGTGATCCTCGTTGATGATGGCGCGAGTCGACCTTGCGTTCATATGCCGTCCAGACTAGGCCAACTAGCATGTTGGCCCTAGGTAATCATCAAGTGGCCGAGTAAGCCCTACGACCAACTCCGGATGCGAACCACGGTCTCTTATCTTCTTCTTGCCGTACTCCGTTTACCCTTCATGTCCAGATGATGGTCCCATTATTACAAGAGGACGGGTAGATGAATGCAGAATGCATCTAGATATCATTGAACGTCTCTTACTTGCCCTCGTCCTTTCAAGTAACCCTCCCTCCCTCCTCCTCCGGGTGCGTCAATTCGACCACTATTGTTGTTTTTAGTCGTCTCTCGGTGTAGCTTCGCGCCGTCACAGGAAGAACATAGGCCCACGGCTGGGGAAGAAACCTCACGGCTTAGAGGATGTAGGTTCGAGACAAGCATCTGTCTGACATGAGCCAAACTTTTTGAGTCGCATTCGTCCCGTCGGCCCTTTGCTACTCGCTGACCAACGTTCAATTTATATTACTCGCTGGCCATTCCTTCACTTGCTCTTTTAGCCTTTCTCGTCTTTCTATTGTTTTTATCTCGATTCGCTCTTCTTACATGCACGAATCACTGTCATGACCTGGGTATCCCATGCCACCCCCGAGGTGGACGCCATTTCCCAATGGCGCACCATTGTCGCCGTCTGCGTCATCCTCACCATCATCTCCTTTGCCGTCGTCGGCTTCCGCCTGTGGATCAGCTTCCGCGGCCGCGGCCTCATGGCCGACGACTACGTCGCCGCCGCCTCCTTCCTCCTCGCCTTCATCTACTCGGTCCTCACCATTGTCCAGACCAAGTACGGCCTGGGCCTGCCGCTCAGACTACGCTCCAAGGACCTCGACGACGCCGCCACCTACAAAAAGGTCAACTTTGCCGGCCGCCCCATCTACCAGTTCGGCGTCAGCCTCTTCAAGGTGGCGCTGCTCATCAGCTACCTCCGCCTGCTGCAGGCGACGAGCAAGCGCAACTACCGCGTCCTCATCTGGGCTGCTATTGTGGCCGTGTTGCTCGGCCACCTGGGAAGCGCCTTTGCCCTCATCTTTGCCTGCAAGCCTGTCCGCTTCTCGTGGGAATTAAAGGTCAACGACCCGCACCCGACGTGCGTCAATCTGTCGCAGACGTCCCTGATATACTCCCTCATTACCATCATCTCCGACGTGCTCGTCGCCGTGCTGCCCATCCCCGTCCTCTTGACGCTCAAGATTGCCAATGCCAAAAAGGCCGGTCTCGTAGGCGTCTTTCTACTTGGCCTCTTCACCACCATCTGCTCGGTCCTGCGTCTGGTTCAGCTCAACCGCATTTCCTTTGGTGACGGCAACTCGACTATGCTAATTCTCTGGGGTGTCATTGAGTTCAACGTTGGTGTAAGCCTTTCACCTCACGCACCACCACCCTTTGTCCTCACAACTAAACACGATTTTTTACAGAACATGGTGACGTCGCTGCCGTTCCTCGCCCCCGTCTTTATTAAAAAGGCCAAGGACATGAGCTACCGCCGCTACAAGACCAACAGCCGCGTAACCGAAGCATCCAAAAATTCGCGACTGTCGAGGCAACCGGGCGGAGGAAGCGAAATGTACCACCTGGAGAAAGTCAAGCACTACCCCAACCACCAGAGCACCGTGGTCGGATCTAGCCAGTCCTCGGGGAGCGTCGAGAATATCCTCCCCAAAGAGGGCATTGTCAAGTCGGTCGAGTACTCCGTGTCAGTGGACAAGACGCAGTCGGAGCAGCAAAACACGCCCTGGCACCCCGTCTAAGGGCGGCACGTTACGAGTCTCTGTTTTTTTCCATGTATATAGCGCCACAAGTCTAATTCCTGCTCGATACCAAATGCAAATGTGTCTGAAGAATTCTTGCATTTTGAGGCCCTCCTGATTATCGAAGTGTCTCGAGCATTTGTGAGACTGTTAAACGAGTGAGCAGGGCACCATGACGCTTGGGGTTGCTGACGCGTGACATTTGCTGACCACCCAGGCACCATCCCGGCATTGCGCCATGGCACGATGGCACCTCCTGCGGATCGAGCAGGCCTCGGTGCCTTGTTGCCTCACGCTTCCGGGTGCGATGCCCACTTCAAATCTGCACAATGCATATTTTGGTGCAGAAAAAGATGTCGAACTGTTGACTACTTGCAGATAAATAAATTTGGATTCTGGGTAATACCATTTAAAAATAAAAAATGGAACCCGCGCTGTTCCTGAGCCCGCCCCCATCGTTCGGTTGATGGGATAGCTAGGGAGGAGGGTCCCTGCGCGCGTCCCGCGGCGGCGCCCCCATTTTCGCGATGGAACCCAACTTACACCCACTGTACGTGGAACTTGGTTAACAATATGCTCCGGACATGATGAAGAATAGTCGGCGCGTCATTCCATGCCGCCATCGTGTTCGTATCTGTGCTCCGTGATACAACCCTACGGCAGTTGCTGACCTCGATCTAACGCACTCTGCCGAGATGCTGCCAGAATGTGCTACATGGGTACCTAGGTAGTTACGATCTGATGCCGCCGGGCTCACCATGGTTCAGCCGTCCCATCTGAGCCAAGAATCTGCAGGCGTACAGTAGCCGCTGCAGCCTTGTGATGGGCTTGACGATATGGCTGAAACGAGGCAGCGGCACCTATCTATTGGTCGGGCATTTCTCCGAAGTACTACCACAGTAAGTACTTTATTTGCCTTTTACAACTTTATCTTGCAACCGACCATAAAGAGACGGTGCGGCCAGTCGGTTTGAGCCATCGGCGCCATCTAGGCCGTCCGGCCCGAGCCAACTGGGACCACGGGCGACACGGCGTCGATTTAAAATTAGCAAGTGTCTCATTCTCGTATTTCTTTGACGATAAGTCTTTGTATTTCTTCGGATTGTCACTTTATACGTGGCTGCTGGCGTCTTGTCTATGATCAGTTCTTTGCGCCAGTGGCTGGACTGGCTGGACTGGCTGGACTGGCTGGACTGGCTGGACTGGCTGGACTGGCTGGAGTGGTATGCTCCTATCCGCCTAAAAATCTTGATTTAGAATTGCAGATTCAGCCCGTGTCAGGAGTGCAGGAAATGAGGACATGCCAGAATTCCATCTAGTCTGTCTTTGAAACAAACTTGTTCAAGAAATCAAGACAAGTTGCCATCTGAAAACATGCCCATTATTTTGGCCTCAGCCACGTAGCGCCCCAGACCACTCACAAGCCACTCCGACGCCACACACCCCTTGAGACGCCTTGGCTACCCACGGTCTTGGTTGGGCTTTGGACCATCGCAATCGCACCCCAACTTTCAGGGTCATTTGTCCCATCTGTTGTCCAATCCCGCTACAACTACTCGCTACAAAATACCTCGATCAACTCGCCAAACGTCTAGCTCCCACGCGCGTTCATCAGTGGCTTCATTACATTGCTTTCTGGCCGCCTCGCTCAACGCATCATATGTCGCCTATACAACATCGGAGCTGTCGGTAGTTGCACAGCGGCGGCCATCCGAAGTCTCTGGCTGCCACTGAGCACCCGCTGTAGCTTCTTGATCGACAACGCTGCAGCAGGACATTTTTCAAGCAGTAAGACCTACGACTCGCGATTCTTGGTTTGGCTTCCGTTTCACGCTTCTCCCGGTTGACAACTGCATCAAAAGCACTCCAATCCGCGAGCCGAACGACACTCCTTGAACTCCGTGTGCGATAGCCGCACATTGACCGACAAACATGGCTCGCGATGATTCCGTATCACCATTGTCCCGCTCGCCACAGAAATCGCCGACAAACGATACTCCCTCTAAGCCACCCGTGGTTGGAGGGGGGCTTGCCGCCATGGCTCCTGGGCGGACTCTGGATGGAGTGGCATCCGACGACAATGTAGACAACCAACAAAATGAACCGCCCGCTGCGCCATCCACTCGGCCCTCGAGTCTATCTGTTGGCCTGGCCCCTCCAAAAGCCACCGAATCAAACACTGCCGAATTCTTTGCAGCGCCTGGCGGTCGAGGCTCTCCAGACACTCCTAGCACGCCCAGCGCCCGCGTACAATTTGCTCGCTTCGATCCTCCAGACTTCCAACCATCGCACTCGCGACACAATTCTATCGAAAATCCCGACAGTCTCAAATCCAGGGGCGCATCCCTCATGTCGAAGCTCAAGTCACTCACTCCCGGCGCGCTTCAGTCTCCAAAAGCACCTTCGCTCGACCTAGAAAATATGCAGGCCGGTGCAGCCTCTCCCACGGCCACTCGTTCTCCTGGCAGATGGCCCGATACTTTGCTCGAGGAAGAGGGAGAGACTGACGCGGATATGGATGGCGAGGCCGATGCCGACGTGGAAGAGGAAGCAGACGAAGCACAGCCTGCCGGGCCTCCCAAAAAGAAGAAGAAGCGCAGGATGCGCCGATTCGTCATGGGTGAGGGATCGGTCCCAGGCTCGCCTTTTCGCTTTCCCAACGACGGTGATGCGTTTGGTCACAGATTCTTGAGACGCCGCGCGAGCATGCCAGACACGACCATACACAACCATATCCTCTCCGAAGGCGAAACTCCTCAGCCGCCCAAGCGACGTCCATTCAGGCGTGGTCATTCTTGGATGCATCCCGGTACCGCGCAAGCTGAGACTGACATTGAAGCGCTCGAGAGCTCGGCCGTTGTCGGCCGTCGTCATGGTCACACTCGCCGCAGCACTGTTTTCGGAGGTGGCGGAGTTTCTGACGGCGATGCCATCATTCAACGGAGGCCATTCTTCACCTCGGAACGTGCATCAAATTTTGGCGCCCAAAAATGGAGACAAGTCAAAAGTACTTTGAGATCCTTGCGTCAGAAAAAAGATGATCGCATAGATTACTACAAATCCACCGAGCTAATGGCCGAGCTGAGAGCTGGTGCTCCCGCTGTGCTCATGTTTGCCAGTATGATCCAGCGAGACGAACATGGAAATAAGAGGATCCCCGTTCTGCTGGAGCAGCTAAAGCTGAAAATTACCGACAGCGCCCCAGACGAAGGCGACGACAGTGGTCGCCATTGGGACTTTACCATCCAGCTAGAGTACGGCAGCGGCTCCAGTAGAATGGTCTGGACCATTGTTCGCAGTGTCAGGGACATTTACAATCTCCATTTCCGCTACAAGTTCAAGTTGAACAACGACATGTACTTGCCGGGTCAGATGCACCTGGCTGCGCGCCCCAAACAGCCCCATTTTCCTTATTCCGCGTTTCCCTATTTGCGCGGTAGTAGACGGGATAGCAGTGATCCGGGCGAGGACGCAGCCAGCGACGGAGAACATCATGCGGGACAAGGCGGCGAGATTACCGCTGGCGACGCTGCCGAAGCTACCGCTAGTGACGGCGGCGGCAACCGACATCCTCGCCGCAAAAGATCTCGCGTCAACATGCTTGGCATGAGACGCCGCTCGACTGGGTTTACCGACAATGGCGAGGGTCCAAGCGATGGCGGCCCTGAAGCCCGTCGTCAGCGCTTCTTTGAGAAGCAGCGACGAATCTTGGAAAAGTATCTCTCTGAGCTGGTCCGCTGGCTCATGTTCAGAGCCGATAGTAACCGTCTCTGTAAATTTCTTGAGCTCTCTGCCCTCGGTGTGCGTCTTGCCGCAGAGGGGAGCTATCACGGCAAGGAAGGCTTTCTGCACATTCAGTCTGCTAAGGGACTCGACTTTCGGCGTGTGCTGACGCCTGCCAAAGTGATTGCCCGCCACAGCCGCAAGTGGTTTCTCGTCAGGTCAAGTTATATTGTCTGCGTCGATTCGCCCGAGAACATGAATATTTATGACGTCTATCTCGTTGATTCCAGCTTTAGCATCGCCTCAAAGAGGAGCGCGATCAAGCAGATCGCCTTCAAGAAGAAGAAAAACGATGACCCAACAGCGGAGCCTTCTCCATCAAAGCATACTCTGACTTTACGAACCTCGGAGCGCAAAGTCCGCCTATTCACTCGCTTTCACTCCATCAACAAGCAGTTTCACGAGTCCATTACTGAGATGCTATCACGAACCCCTTGGTCCAAGAAGAAGCGCTTCGATAGCTTCGCCCCAGTCCGACAAGGCGTATTCGCGCAGTGGCTGGTTGACGGGCGCGACTACATGTGGAATGTCTCTCGCGCAATTAACATGGCCAGGGATGTCATCTACATCCATGATTGGTGGCTGAGTCCTGAACTGTACATGAGGCGACCGGCTGCAATTAGTCAAAAGTGGCGTCTTGATCGCCTCTTGCAGAGGAAGGCTCGTGAAGGAGTCAAGATTTTCATCATCATCTATCGAAACGTGGAAGCGGCCATCCCCATCGATTCCGAGTATACAAAGTTTTCCCTGCTGAATTTGCACCCCAACATTTTTGTTCAGCGATCGCCCAACCAGTTTAAGAAGAATCAGTTCTTCTTTGCTCATCACGAGAAAATTTGCATTGTTGACCACGACGTTGCCTTTACTGGCGGCGTGGATCTTTGTTTTGGTAGATGGGATTGCCCACAGCATCCCATCGTTGACGACAAGGCGACTGGTTTCGAGTCGTCCGACGTGCCAAGGGATGCAGAGCACTGCCAGCTCTTCCCCGGCAAGGATTACTCAAACCCACGCGTACAAGACTTTTTCCGTCTGGCCGAACCTTACGAGGAAATGTACGACCGTTCCAAGGTCCCACGCATGCCATGGCACGACATTGGCATGCAGGTCGTCGGTCAGCCAGCTCGCGATCTGACTCGCCATTTCATCCAACGATGGAACTATCTTCGCCGTGGTCGCAAGTCTACCAGACCCCTGCCGTTCCTACTGCCGCCCCCGGAGGCTAATTTTGAGGAGCTCGAGGCGCTGGGTTTGACTGGTACCTGCGAGGTTCAAGTTTTGAGATCTGCCAGCACATGGTCGCTTGGACTGGAAGAAACAGAACACAGCATCCAGACTGCCTACATCAAGATGATTGAGGATTCAGAGCATCTTGTCTACATTGAGAATCAGTTCTTCATCTCTAGCACCGAAGTGTATAACACACGTATCGTCAACCGCATCGGTGATGCGCTAGTGCACAGAATCGTTCGAGCACATGAAAATGGAGAGAGCTGGCGCTGCATCATCCTTATTCCGCTTATGCCAGGCTTCCAAAATACTGTTGATGAGCAAGAAGGCACCAGTGTGCGCTTGATCATCATGTGCCAGCTGCAGAGTATTTGCCGAGGCGAGAACTCCATCTTCGGTCGTTTACGCGCCGCAGGAATCGACCCGCAGGATTACATTGACTTCTTTTCTCTTCGCCAGTGGGGTATTATGAGTACCGACGCTCTGGTGACGGAGCAGTTGTACATTCATGCCAAGACAATCATCGTGGATGACCGTGTGGCTCTCATTGGCTCCGCAAACATCAATGAACGCTCCATGGTTGGTCATCGTGATTCGGAAGTCGCGGTAATTGTCCGCGATACCGACATGATTTCGTCCACCATGGGTGGCAAGCCATACCAAGTTGGCAAATTTGCGCATACTTTGCGCATGAGATTGATGCGGGAGCACCTCGGTCTCGACGTCGATGCTATTCAGGAAGAAGAACGCGAAGATGACCCGGATCTCGAGGGGTATGAGGAACAGATGGATAATATCTATGAGGAGAAGGCGGGTTCCTCGATGGGCCCCCAAAACGGCGAATCTAGTAAACCAGCACGTGCGGGAATGCATCGCCTTCGAAGCTTCAACAGTGACATTGACATCGACATGGCCAAGGCCGTGGACCCCGACGCATCGCCATCGGATGACGAAAGCAACCGCAAAGACAAGGGTAAAAAGAGAGAAAGCAACGCCGAATTTCAAGCTGAGCGCCACATCCAGGACGTTGCCGGCTACGGCCCTGACCAATGGAAGGCTGCCGAGCTATCCGGCGTTGACGGAGGCAGAGACTCTGTCATTATAGACGGTCGCGAATTCTTGGTCAGCAGTGTAGATTCCATGGGTAAGAGCACGCTAGAAGAGCCTCAGTATAAGGATGTGCAGGAGTCCGAGAGCAGATTGCAAGAGTCTGAAATTGAGAACAAAAAGCTTCCACCTCTGCCGCCGTTTGACGCAGGTGCTGAGTTGGACGAGCTGCGGCCGGCCCAGCTACCTACGCTCCCAGAAACTGGTGAAGACGCCAACCCTGGAGACGGCCTAGGCGCGTTCCGTTACATGGCTACAGAAATCAAACAGGCGACGATTACAAAGAATTGCATGACTGATCCCATTGCGCCAGAATTCATCGATGACATCTGGATCAAGGTTGCTCAAAACAACACCAAGCTCTATCGCAAGGTATTCAGATGCATGCCGGATTCAGAAGTCAAGACATGGGCCGAGTATCGAGATTTTGTGGCCTACAGCAAGAAGTTTCAGGAGAGCATGGAAGGTCGGTCCGCTTCGGAAGAACCAGACGGCACGAGTGAAGCCGGAGGCAACCTCAGACGCACGGCAAGCAGCGGTGCGATTGGTATCTCTGTCCCGGATCTGGAGGCACTGGCGAGGCTCAACGGGGAGGACGCCGAGAAGCTGGCCGCGAATCTCAACGAGCAGCACACCAACCCCGACATCACGGGCGAGACACGAGAAGAAGATGCTGACGAAAAGGCGGCGACAGCGGCGGGCGAAGAGCGCGAAATGAGTGCTGATGTCGAGAAGCAACCCACAAACACTGAGACGCTCGAACGCAAAACGACGACATTTGCCAACCTTGAGAAGCCGCCCACCAGGGACACCACCACCACCACAGCGGCGCAGGCCCAGTTTGGCTCAGTTAAGAGGCGACGCCGCGCGACTACTAGGGGTAGCCGCCGCTGGTCCAACCCGGAGGACATGCCATCTCGCACGGAGGGCGAGGGTCTTTTGAGGATGATTCAGGGCAACCTCGTCGAGTTTCCCTACGACTGGCTCATTACCGAGGAGCACAACGGCAACTGGGGCTACCAAGTGGACGGCGTTGCACCGCTCGCAATTTAGTAAGTCAATGACGAAAGTACCAGTGGTGATGAATGATGCTAAACAATGGCAGTAACTAAAAATGCGAGCCAACGTCGGGCGGTTGATGGCATTCCACGATACAGACATTTGCTATTCTTGTTATACACACAGAATGGACTGAGTTTTCGGGTTTGCTTTTTTTTTGTTTTCTTTGGCATTGCGTGGCGTTTGTCGGCTTTTTGCCAAGATACAATGGGAATATCTTTTTTCTTTTTTTTTCTTTTGTCCCAAAATAAGCAAGCCATGGCAATAATAATAGAATGCGCAAGACAAAGTTGCTGATACATAATGGTACAATTACATAGCGTACACCTTATTCTAGACAGGAAGGAGTTATTTACATGAAATATTTTCGGCCGCTCTCCGACATGCGAATTCTACTTTGTTTTCTTTTACACATGCTTTGCATGCCTCGAGGGGGGGGGGGGGGGGGCTGTTAATTCAAACTCTCTCGCTGACCCAGATGGCACCGCGACAGCCCGCGCGAATGACACCCGTGAGTAGCCAGTGTGGATCCGCCTTTTTCGCATCGTGCTCGACGGCATGATCCAGGTGCTCTAGCTCCTCGTCGCGGATGCGTCGAAGCGTGTCAATGAGCTCCCGAAACTCGGCGCCGACCCCGTAGCCCTCGGCCTCCCACGCGGCGACCATCTCCAGCAGCGTGCGAATCTGCTCATTGTAGTGTCCGCCAATCTCCGTCTCGACGGCCTCGGTGCACGCCATGGCGGCCTCGCGGCCCATGACGGCCGTGGCCCAGCCGAGGCCGCCGGCCATGGCCGACCACAGCGGGTACAGCGCCGTGGGGCGCACGCGGTGCCGGTGCAGCAGCGCGTTAAAGGTGGCGAGGTGCGCGGCCTCTTGGTCGTACATGTGCCGCAGCAGCGGGCGCAGGTGCGGGTGCGCGCGGACGAGGGGCGGCGTCTGCGCCGTGTAGATGAGCGTGGCGGCGAGCTCGCCGGCCTGGTTGACGCGCAGCGCCGAGGAGAGAAAGTCGCGCTGCTCCTGGGTGAGTGGTTTGAGAGGCCGCGGCGGGGGGTCCGAGGAGGACGAGGAGGACGAGGAGGACGAGGAGGTGGTGGTGGTGGTAGTGGTGGCGAGGCGGGCGGAGGCGGTGGTAAAGGAGCGGAGAGATGATGGGCAGGTGCAGAGACGGCGCAAGGGCCTAGACATTCGAGGTATGCAGGACATGGTGGTGGTTGTGAGTGCCAATGGGCGGCGACGTTTGGTTGTGGACGTTGGAGGTTGATGAAGGTGAAGTCATGGAATGGGCTGATGCCACTACCGATTCAAGGTTGCACAGCGGGGGCCCAGGAGCTGCTCGTTTACTCTGTAACTACAGTGGTTGAGTGGATTATTTGAGTAAGGTACCTAAGCAGTAGACAAGGTGCCAGGTGCCTACATGATTCGGGTGTCATTGCAGTTAAGCGGAGAAATACTTTTACCGAAAGCCGTTCCTGTGACATGGTGTTACCTAACTAGTGGCGCAACCTACCTAAATACGGAGTACGTTGTGCCTTTTTTGTCGCGCCGTGAAAGTCGGACGTGCACTACGCTGTGCTGCCACTGGCCTGCCTGTTCAATCACCTGAAAAGCAGGTCTCTTTTCTCTCCCCTGGCCTAAAATCCTCACCCTTTTCATTCCTTTCAATTCTTTCTGTCCTTCTGCGTCCTCTGGAATCAGCACTTTTCTCTTTCAATCTAGTGTACAGCAAATTGTTAAAACTAGACGACAAGAGTTGGCAGCAACGCATCCCGCACAACGACGTTGCGGACCACAGGCACACAACGCCACCCCCCGTCCCCATTTTCTCGCCACGAAACCGCTTTCCTATCACGGGGAATAGCCCAGCGCGCGACCGACACATACAATGGCTGATTTCGAGGCTGACCTCTTTGATCTTGCTGGCGGCGGCTCCGACTCGGAGGGATCCGTCGTCGACCGTAGACGCTCTGCGTCGCCAGCAGATAGAGGCTCCAAGGCCAAAAAGTCTAGGCGCGCAGCGGATGGCGGCTCAGAAGAGGAAGGCGAAGCGTGAGTGCCCAGACTCTTTGACAGACTATATGCATCGCATCGCCGAATGCGATAAGGGCTCCGCGAGATGATGAGCGATGCTGACATGCGCGGAACAGCTTCTCCGGGCCCGGCTCCCCCGACTCTCTAAACTCGGCCCCCATGGATGAATCAGACTCGGACGACGAGCCATCAAAGCCTCGAGGGCCTAGCGGAGGCGGCAACGATGAAGAAAAGTATCCCGTCGACGGCAAGTTTCGAAGCGAGTCGGAAAAGGCAGAGATTCTGGCCATGCCCGAATTGGAGCGAGAGCAGATTCTGGCCGACCGCGCCAACGAGATTGAGCGACTGCGACAGAACCGCCTGTTGCGCCAGATGGTCACGGACACGCAAAATGACGAGCGCAAGGCGAAAAAGAAGCGTAGCGCCGACAGCGCCGACCTCGAGGACGACGATGAGGACCGCCGCGGCAAGTCATCGCGGCGGACCGGCGGCACGGCCATGGACGCACTCCGTAGGGCCAGAGCCGACAGGCAGAAGCGTAGGGAGGACCACGAGCGGCGCCGCGACGCGTACTCGCCGCGACGGGAGTCGGACGATGAGGCGAGCGAGGACGACTACAGACGCGGTTCCCGCACACCCGAGAAAAAGGATGAGAAAAAGGACGAGCCAAAGCCGGAGCTGCGCGACTTTGAGAGGGTGCGCCTGGGACGCAACGAGTTTGCGCAGGTCTGCTTCACGCCGGGCTTTGAAGCTGCCATTACGGGGTGCTTCATTCGCATCGCCCTAGGGCCCCATCCTGACACGGGCGTCGAGCAATACAGAATGGCCATTATCAAGGGTATGCGCGGTGCGGCCATTTTGCATTGAGAGTTTGGACGCTAACAAGATGCAGGATTCACCACCGGCCGACCTTATGCTCTGAGTGGTCCCAACGGCACGTTTGTAACTGACCAATATGTCAAGGTGGCGCACGGTAAGGCCATTAAGGAATTCCCCTTTATCGCCGCCTCTAGTGGCAGATTTACAGTGGTATGATTGCGCAAGATGCCGAGGCCCATCCATTTCGTCTAACACGTCCGCAGAACGAATTGAATCGCTACCAAGTAACATGCCACAATGAAAACGTCAAGACGCCGCTCAAGTCGGTGCTAAACAGCAAAATTGACGACATCAACAACCTCCTTACACACAACTGGACCAACGAGGAGATCAAGGCGCGCCTCGCCCGCCGCAATGAGCTGCGCAAGCGCTTCGACCCCGCCGAGCGCGCGCGCGTCGCTCGCCTCCTTGAGGAAGCCACCGTCGCTGGCGACACCGAGCGCATGCAGGAGCTGCAAGACGAGCTCGACAAACTCGGCGCGCAGCGGCTCGCCTTCAAGACCAGCCTGGGCCCGACCAAGTCATCATTGTACGAGAGCGGCGCCGGCGCCGGCGGCGGCACTCCCCGAATCTCGTCGGAGCAGGATCGCCTGGCGGCGCGCAACAAGGAGAACCGCCGCATGAACCAAGAAGCCGTACGCAAGGCGCAGCTGCGCGAAAAGGCAAAGGCCCGCGAGATTGAGCTATCGCTCAGCCGCGGCGAGATTGTTGCCGAGGACCCCTCGCGGCGTCTCCGCACAAAGGCCAAGTTTGTCCATGACGTTCACGAAGCGGCCGACGGCAAGCCGGCGAGCGGCGCCAGCACCCCCGCGGCGGCGGCAGCGGCGGGCACGGCCAACGGGACGGCAGCGGCGGCGACCAAATCATCGCAGTCGGCGCTGCTGCCGCATCTGGCCAAGCTGCAGGACAAGAGCCAGGCGGACAGCAAGGGCCTGCCGACGATTCACAAGCCGCTAATGGATGATGATGTGATTGGATCGCTGGATATAGACATTGATATCGATATTTAGCAAGAACAAGGTAGTTTGAGCGGGAGGGCAGCGGAGTAAAGCATTGGGGGAAACGAGAGGAAGCAAAAAAAGAAGACATTTTTTGGGGTCCCCACGGGACGTTGTACTTGTATGATTTATTTACATAATCATTTTTCCCTAGCAAGGGAAGCATCATGCCCAATTTTCTGGGGAGTCGTCTATTTCGTGGCACATTGTCCACCGTCGTTGGCAAATGCTTGATCAAATTGCTTTCGACCTCTGTGTCTGCTGAAAGAAGGGCAAAATGGCGTTCTTGGCGTTCTCGGGAAAAGGTTGAGGGGGGAGCATCCGGTCTAGTGAAGAGCTCCAGGTCGGAAAAGGCCAAATCTGACGCAGAATAAGGCAACGTGTGCCATGTTTTGAGAGTCCAGAATTATGCTCAAGAACAGACAAGGGAGACAAGCCCATGTGACACTTGTAGCTCTAGATACAGGGGTTCCGGAGGCTCTCCGTGTCCAGAAAAGCAGACAGAACACCCGTGATGATCATGTCTGGCGAGGTCGTCCGGCGGCACATGTGCCACGATGCATTGGCAACGACTCCCCAACTTTTTTTTGCACTGCAGAGGAACAAAGCTCGCAGACGATGTGGTGCCACGCCCCATCCATCTGTCCCATCTGAGAGTTGACAGACAGATTTCGGAGAACTTTTGAGCAACACGCCAGCATTACTCACACCCTTTCTGGAATTACTCATGGCATCCATCACTCAGAGGTATAGTGCTCATGGCTTTGGCAAATTCTGTCCGTTGTGTCATCCGCAAACCGATCGTTCACAGGCTGTAACATGTAACAGAAACCAACGTAACAATGCGGGTGTTGTTGCTCAGGTGCGGGCGTGACGATTGTGTCAATACAATGTCCAAGATGTCGCCGAATCCGCTCCATTTCCGTCTTTCGCGGTAGCTGCAACTTCTCCCCTGATCAAACAAGTTCCCGTCGAAAATTCCTCTAGTGCGCGCTTCGAACGGGAATCCAAGTCCTTCCGAACTTTATAGGGAACTGTGTTGTTTCGTGATATTGCGACAAAACAAGAGATCTAATCGTTGTATATCCCATCATAATCTAGTAGTGTCTGTCGCCCTCGTCCATCTTCAGAACAACAAAAAAGGGGGGCCCCCAACAAGGTTTCCTACTGAACCTTGCGCTTCGTCATCACATCAGGCAGCGTATCCAACCTTTTCGAAAATCTCGTGACGGCCTGCAACACCACCCACAGCAGCGTCAGCTTGGCCGCCTCCAGCACCTCGCCCCAGCCACTGCGCACCCGGCTCACCAGTCCCAGCCTCGGCCGCGGCCTCGTCCCGTCCAGCTCGTCCTCCCACCGCGCGCACGCCTCCCGAAACTGCCTCGGATCGTCCGTAATCACCGCGTCCAGCACCCGCCGCGCCGCTGGCACGCCGGCGCCGGCGCCGGTGCGGCCATCATCATGCACGAGGAGGTTGCGGTCCAGCAGCCACCGCATCCAGTTGTCCTGGTTGACGGTCCACGTCATGACGGGCGCGCCACGGTTGCGGTGCCGCCGTGCCTGCGCTAGGAAGCGCCGTCCCAGGACGCCAGAGAGCGTGGAAAAGTGCAGGCTGTAGCCGAGGTTGGGCATGGCGGCGCCAAAGTGCGCCGAATAGGACCGCGACCAGGAAATGTGGCAGAGCGGAAACGCGGGCAGGATGCGCCGGGCGGCAGTAATGTACGTGGCCTAGGTTTGCCGTGTCAGCTGGGCTCTTGGGGTTCAAAATTCAACGGTCGCGATGGGAGGGGGGGGGGGGTGAATGGTGCACGTACGTTCCAGCAGCCGAGAAGGATGCGGTGTTCCCAAGGTACAGGGCCTTTGATAGTCGCCAACACATTTCTCATGCTGGAGAGAAGCTGATCCGCCTCGTCGTCAATCTATCCAAAGTTAGCCCGTGTCTCTCTAGAAAAGAACTGGTCTAAACACATGTGTTATTATTATACCTTGATATCAAGCACACACCACGTCTTTTGCATGTCCTCTTCGGCAAGCAATCCCAATACGTCGCTCAACCGCGGCATCCCAACATGCGGCGGTCTCAGGCTTCTCAGAGTCGAAATGTAACTCCAATCACAATCCGCAATCCTTTTCGCTACGCCAAAGCAGCGTTTCAGCGAGGCGTCCTGTTTTGTTCGGTCAGCGACGGGCGTTCATCCCCAAAGACCACGGGGGAAAAAAAAGGAAAAGAAAACACGTACGTGCGACATGACAACGACGCCGTCCCTGGTCAGGTGCACGTCCGTCTCGATGCCGTGGGCGCCGGCCTGCACCGCCGCGCGCATGCCATCGAGGCTGTTCTCCGGCCACTGCGCCTTGTACCCGCGGTGCGCGACCGTCTGCGGCAGGAGACGGGTTGGGTCCCTGGCTGAGGGGATGGCGGCAGCAAATGGCGCTACCATGTACTCAAAATCAGCCGTCTTTAATCTCGATCCATTTGTCCTTCCTCCTGAGCAACTCCAAGCCGCTTGCCATCATGAACCAGGACGATCCCGAATTCGACAAAGGGGGCTCCGTTGGTTGGCCGAGGGTCAGCACCGGGAAGGACATACCATCGGGAAGCTCGTCAAATAAAGAAGCGGAGTCCATTTGAACTGTTTGTAGTTTTTCTTTCCTCATACATTACAATGTTCAAAACCGCTAAAGAAAGATTCATCGACGTATTATAGCGAGGTGTATGAACGTGGCCTGGTCTTTGTTGGTCGCCTCCCGGAGATAAGCGCAGTACCGAGTGTCCGGCTCTACCGCGACCCCACCAAACTCCGACTCCGTTACGGCGACGGCGATGCAAAGATGATGACCAAATCATTATTGGTGTGCTCGCTTCCAAAGATATAGATCAATCCACCTACATTATCTCAGCCGTGGACATTTCGCCTCTCGGGGAAACAACATGCCTATCGGGAATAAGAGACGCAAGTGAAATCCCGCAGCAACTCCGTCAGTCGTTTTGCCCCCTCTACCAGTACAGGCATCAAGTCAATCATGGAACGGCGACGGTGCAATATCGAATTAGTGACATGGAAAGGTTTCTACTCAAGACATAGACCAGTTGCAGCGGATGGTCTTGAACTTCTAGACATTGGTAGCACCAAGGCATTCACGTTGCGCGCGCAACATGCAACGAGAAATGATCAACATCATCTTATGTATAAAAAGAATACTCGAGAAAAGGATGGCAAAATTTTCATAGACTCCAACAACCATACCCAGGTAAAGAAAAATCCCAACATCGCTCCGTTCCAAAAACGCCGCCTCCATAGAAAGCATATTTCATCATCAGCTCCACCAACGGCATATAAATTCAAAGCAAATAACCAGCAAGCGTATCCATATTAAATGTCTCGCTGCCGGCGGCAGCTTGCAGCTGCTTTTGGTAGCTTCCTCCCATTTGGCCCATGGCGGGTGGTGAGACTTCCTCGCCTGAGCTCAGGCTCTCGTCACTCAAGCTCAGCACGCTCTGCGGTGCTTCTGACGCTGTAAAGTCACCGAGGCTAAAGCTGCTAAGATCCCACGAGTCAGGCGACCAGTCACTAGTCTTGCTTGCCAGCGCAGGCTCGTTTTCCAGCGTTGCGCCTCCGTAAATGGCATTGTAGACATTGCCCATACCGCCTTCCATAGACCCTAATAGAGCCTCCCACTCGTTGTTACTGACACCTGCAACCTTGTTCGAAAACTGAGTGTTGCTCATCATATTCGCCAGATGAACTTGCGCCTGACGGTCAAGAGGCAGTTGCTGCTTGGAACCTGGTGACTGCGATCTGGATCCATTGGGCGTCGTATTGAGAGAGAGGTAGTCGAGATTCGGTCGCGTCGCCAGGAGGGCATTCGTATTTTGGCTACCAGTCGGCATTTGCGACATGCATAGATAGTCATGTGACTGGCCGAACCCTTCAGACTGAATACTATCAAAGGAGCCGCGGCTCTGCGCTGTTTCCAACTCAGAGTCGGGTGAAGCCAATGTCCGCACCGTCGTGCGTCTTGACGCGTGTTGGGTGCCGTCACTCTGCGGCTGTGCCTGATGCTTCTGATTTTTCTCATTTGCACTTTTTCGTCTTGTGGGCTGCTCTGCGGCGGGCGACTTGGAGGTTGAGCCGCGACGCGGACTAGACGAAGCGGACACTGGCGATGGTAGTGATGAGCCAGCTACAGTGACGAGTGTGCTGGCGATACTTCTAAGGTCGACACAGCCGGGAGAGCGCAATCGCTCTACAGTGCCGATCACAGAGTTGACGAGTCGCTGGTTGTCCCGAGCTACCTTGCTTTCTGCTTTGAGGTCGGTAACTTGATACAGTAACGCCAGTGCGCTGATGATAAGTAAATCGCCCTTGTTCAGACAGAAAGAGAATGACAAATTGCGCTCTTCCAAAAGCTCTGATATCTGAATGATGTGTTTGCTGGATTCTGCAACAGACATGAGCGCCGGGGCCGACTTATTGCCGAGTCCCGAGCCAATGGCAGGCCGGTAGATGAGGGTGCGAATGAAGTAATACGCGAGGGCCTACACGCATTAGCAAAGATAGATGGTGCGCTAACCATTCGTCGACTGCTTACCAAAAGAGGAGACCGGCTTCCAGTAATATCAGTGGACGGTTTATCTTGTGCAAACCGCAACTTTAGGTGTACCGGTAGCGCATCATACCAGCCATCCAGCTCACTCTCCAAAACAGTCATTTGTTGCAATGAAAGTTCATATGTGGTAGCAGAAGGATAATTCCTTTCGAGAACTTTGGCCAAGATGCGGGTTGCGCGGAAGAGGGCTAGAGCACTGGACAAACGCGTATGCTCACCCGGAAGAGTGGGCTGGAAGCCTTTTTCGGTGACATATTCGTCATCTACATCAGAAGGGTATTCGACCTGCAAGTCGTCTTCACGCAACAGCTTAGGAAGACCCAACGTGGCGGCGGAGAAGCTATGATAGAGTTAGCTGACGTGTCCAAAGAAAGGAACAAGGCTGGTGATGCCTACCAATCGACAGTATATAGTGTCCAGAAAACCTTCTTTCGCGTTTCGAGGGTCAAGGCACCGAAAGAAAACCGCTTCTGGCTCTGATGAAGACCGAGGCGATAGGCTAAGCCGACAGCGATAGACTTGTAATGTTGAAGGCGCCTATAGTCCGCCGTGAGAGAACAGTAGAGCAGTGCAAGCACGAGGCACTGGAGAGCACTCATGGTATTTTCCAACAGAATTACCTCAAGAGCAGCGGCCCACTGTCGCTCACATGCTGCCAGTTGGTCCAGATCAGGACCCGAGGATGAAAGGCCTGCAAGGCCGAAGACGAGATGCAGCTGGGCGATCTTGTAGTTGCACTTGACTTTTTCGGGGTCGGCAACGAACTCCTCGTAGACGCGTAAAAATGTAGGCTTGTGAAGGACGGGGAACAAGGGCGCCCATTCCTGAAAGTATACGTTTACGCATCTGTCGGTAAACAGACGAGGTGGGATTCTGAGAGATACCTCGGGTGGGTTAGGCGTGAGTGGTGGGCAGCCTTGCACATGCAGAAAAGCCTCGGGGTTGAACTCGCTGCACGGTTTTCCGCTCTCTTGCAGCCTGCGCTTCAAGGCCGCTATCAGGAGAGGAAAAGGTCAGCAAATCTGATGTGGGCGATTGCTAGAAAAGGCTTGCCGAGTAAGGAGACTTGGGCAATGTCAGCGAAAGACAACTTACTAATAAATGTGCGACCGCTGGATGCGCCCATAAAGTAGGCATCCGAGTTCTCCACGCCGAGTAACAGTGGTGATGCCTGGACGCGAAATGTGTCTTTCTTGTCAGAAATGACATCTTTTGAGCTAGTACTGTTTGCGCTTGTGTCTTGATGAAGTGATGGCGACGCAGATGAAGTAGAGGGGCGCCGCTGGCCCTTGTGCATGGCGGAGAGCATGTCAATCTTCTCGTCCTTTTCGTCCAGCAAATCTTTCAGCTCGCGCACTTCGGTTTCCAGAGCACGCACGCGCTCCTCGAGAGATTCTGTATAGCCTCGAGGGAAAGCACGACGAGAAAGCTTGTCGCTAGTACGGCATTCAAAGCCGACATTGGCACATTGTGAGCAAGTCGGTCGGACACCATCGCATCGGATCTTTTTGCTGCGACAGCGGTCACAAGCCTGTGCAATGCGGCTCTGAGCGCTGGTGCCGACTTTAATCACCTTCATGGGCAGAATGCCGGGCATCTTGGGCGATTTTGCGCAAACGGTCGGCGATTCTTGGTAAAGCGTTGCGGCGCTGATTCGCTCAGTCGGAGAGGTACGTTTTTCGTGCGTGTTCGCTTTGCAGAGTTTAGATTTTCCAGTCTCCTGGTGCAGCACCACCGCGGGAAAATATTGATGCGTATTCGTCTCGTATTGGCGGATTCCTTTGCAGTTTGGGGCTGTTTTGTTCGGAACAAGTTCTGGGTTGTCACCGTGAGCGGAGAGACGGACGAGGCGTGCAAGCGTGGTAAAGGGACTGCCGTAGCCGTTGACTAAGACTGGGCGAGAAGTCGTGTGGCTCGGGTAAGCGGAAGTGACTACCTACCTACCTAGTAGATAGTTACCGCATACAGCGGCGTGTCCAACTGAAAGAAGACGGCGACCAAAGCACGGACAGGATGATAGTGCACAAGTCAATATTAGACAGCGGAAAACAATTTCCAACTTGTTCAAGAGCAATTACGTCTTTTCACAGACTGTGGGGGGGAGTAATAATAGAAGGGGAAGAACAAGTCGAAGAGCCGTTACCCCAGTCGAATAAAGAAAGATTGGCGCGTTATCTGGTGCGGGTCCGGACAGCAAACCCCATACAAAGTATTGGGCCCTGGTATTAATGTCTTGACCGTACGGAGTACTCCGTACGGACAACGGACAACGGAGACTGTATTATGAATACAAGTCGGTAACTGTGGTGGGATAAACTGCCGGAATCCACAACCGGCAAGGCTGGGCAAGCTTGGACAATAAGTCGCCACAGAGGACCCATGACATGACATGTTCCCCTTCCCAGGCCCCCCCAGGCTTCATTTGGACAAGCTACAGCGTTGAAGTGGTGCCAAAACGCTTGGCTTGGCTGGCGCAGCACCCACGCAGCAGACGCAGCAGTTCCGCAAATGCAAACCGACCATCTATTTAGCGACAAATTGCCAAACTATTGCTGATGGAAATCCGGGGGTGGGCCGCAGCCCGTCATGTTACTTGTTGCTCCAAGCGAGAAGCGGGCAATTGCGGGTGGTGCACACGCCCAACACAACACGCAACACCCTTGCCCCAAACACAAGTCCGGCGAGTCTCCCCCGCACCACGAAATGGCTGGCAACAACGAGACGAAGCCTTTCAAAACAATAAATGCCGCTCTTGGATCTTTCAATAGGATCCATCACGCTTTCACTTGTCGGTTATTGACCATGTTGGACTATATTCCATGACTTTCGCTCCATTGCATCAAGGCATTTTTCCTGCAGTATTGTCGGTTGCAGTATTGTTCAATCTTCCCGAGGTTCACTAACAGAAACGTGGTAATGGCAAGACTGGTTGGTAGTGGAGGCGACGACGCCTGAACAGAGATCCAGCTTGAATGCTGCCACAGCGCCCAAGCTCAGCTCGAGTGCGACTATGCAAACCTTGTCCGAAGCTGGCATCGCCAAAGTCAGCAAGACTTCGCCAACTAGCTAAAGTCGTCTTCTTCATGAGCTAGCGCGATTGAGTCGTCCTCTGCTAACTGGTTTTGGTCATCTTCCATCGACCCGAAATACGCCACTACACTTTCGTGCGCCATAAGCTGGGATTTCTGTTGTCAATGGGGGGCAAATTTCCCCACGCGTTAGTTTTGAAATTGCCGTAAAGCAGGTTACAAACATTGAACAGTGGTGGTGATCCCCAACGTAACAAGAACCAAATAGAGATGTGCATGAATGCGAGAACAAAGGGCAATCTGAAGCAGGGCTGCAATGGGGTCTTGTCCCGTAGCTCGGATTGACAAAGTCGCAAGACAATGAATGGAGTTTATACGCACCTCTTCTTCTAAACTTTTCAATACGGCTTCGAGTACGGACCGCTCAATGTTCTTGAGAGTCGAGACCAAGTCCGCATGTTGCTGATCAATGATGCCTGCTGCAACCAAGGCCGCGAGTTGTCCACCATTTGGGGCGGCTGCCAGCTGGAGAAGCTGGTCCGCCGCGCATTCCTGTACTACAGTCGCGGCCCTGAGCTGGAACAATGCGTGCAGAGGGTGATCTTGGAGTAGCGTCTCAAAATCGTCCGCTCGCCCCGTCACATCCTCTTCTTGCCAAAAGACTCTCAGCTGTCTGTCGCCTGCGTCGTCCTGTAGAATGCGAAATTCAAGCCCGTCTTCTTCATTCAAAACCATTAGGTACGCAAAGTCACTTTTCCACATCTTGCCGCTGGCGGCGTCGTCGTCCGCCTCGGTCTGGCGGAGCGTGACAACGGGAGCGCCGCCAAACACGCGCTGCTTTGCCATGGCGAGGGGGTCGTCCGGGAAGCTGTCCAGATGTAGAGTCAGCTGCCGCGTCTTGCTGTCCGGGTCGATGAAGCCGTAGCTGAAGAGCATCTCGGCCGCCGACTTGCTGTCGCCGTACGAGATGTTGATCTCATCTCCCGCAGCAACGCTGACGCCCGGCCGGATCCGGAGTGATACATCACCGCTCGCCTCTTCTTCGTAGTAGGCTGTCGCATTCGTTGTCGAGTGATTTACCATGTCAAGCGCAGGGACCATGGCGTGGCCAGCTTGGGGGAGCTCGAGGCATCTAGATCTATACCAAGCATCAACGAGAAACCAATCCGACAGCATTGCTCCGTCCGCCTCCCACAGTAGTTGATTCCAAAAGGGGAGGACTGCTGATTCATCTCGCAGCGTATCGAATTCACTCTCTAGTGCGGTGATTTTGGCTTCCAGGGCATCCTGCAGCGCGGTAGGTGTCAGTCCTGCGATATAGATGCCTGTTTCATCGGAGTCTAGTATGAAGTACCCTACCTCTAACGAAGTACCTTGCAGAAGCAGCTGATGAGGCTTTGACCACAAGGTAGGGAGAGGAATATCCCTCGGTAGAAACTTGATATATTCGCTCCATGGTGTTGACACACAACGCCCTGTGCTTCCCCCGGTGTGTCTTGCCGAGATTAAGTGCACCAATAGATAGAGCATGATCTCGAGTCGGGCCGACTATGCAGAGCCATTAGTCCAAGTTTATTCGATATAAGTAAAGGTGCTATGTACCTTTCGGCCCAGGGTCTCTATGAGTTGTTTAAAGTGCCGATCCACCTTGGCATACTCCTCGACAGCTTCTCTTGACAAAACTAGCTCGGCGGAAATTCTCACAATTTCAAAAGCATCATTGACATTTTCCGAGGCATCTATTGCATTCTCGGCAACAAGCCCATAGCCTTTGCCGTCGATGTGGCGCATGCCAACCTGTTGAAGCTTCACATCCTGCAGGGTGGCCCAGGCCGGCAGAGACTCGATGGGCAGTTGAGGAGCGGCAGGCATGGTAAATAACCCAGCAGCGCCGTCTTCGTGTGAGACCTACTGTACGGTCCTCGAATAAACGCTTGTCACTCCGGTTCGGCGGGTGAATGCAATCTCCAACCTAGGCGGCTGGAAAGGTTGCAAGTCTCGGGGAACAAACCTCGGGGTGGCGGGCGGAGCTTCCGCGCATGCTCCACCAAAAATTAGTACGTCATGCCGAGAAAGCTAGGTACTCTAAAAAGTGGCAATGTAAATTTTTTGGATGCGTTTTTATGAACAGACGACCTTGATATAGGACGCTGCGACGCGCGGTTATACAACCTATGATTGGTAATACGTTTTGCATGTCAAATCAGACGACGAAACAGGACTGCCCTGTGTATTCCTGTGGCTCCTAGCCCGCCGATATTTGCTCTTTTCATTCGCTCATAAAGATACCCCGCCATGCCTCGCGATCCCCTCATTGGGCTTGTGGGAAAGCCCTCTGCGGGCAAAAGCAGTACGCTGAATAGCTTGACAGATGCGACCTCCAAAGTCGGTACGTTTCTTATTACCTCCCGACCCCTATCCGACCGCCTCTCTATAGCAGCTCGTACTAATCACATACATACCTCTCTTAGGCAACTTTCCGTGAGCGTTATCCCACGTTCTTGCAACGCCCTACATAACCCCCCCTTCCCATCCGCCCCAGCCGTTCGCCAAAGTCATTAACCAACCACGCGCCTCTCCTCTTAGCTTCACAACCATCGACCCCCAGCGAGCAATCGGCTACCTACAAATAGACTGCGCCTGCGCGCGCTTCAAGGTCTCGGACCGGTGCAAGCCCAACTACGGCGCGTGCGTCGCGGGTCGGCGCTCGGTGCCGATTGAGCTGCTCGACGTGGCTGGGTTGGTGCCGGGCGCCCACCAGGGCCAGGGCCTCGGAAACAAGTTCCTCGACGACCTGCGGCACGCCGACGCGCTGATCCACGTCGTCGACGCGTCGGGTACCGTCGACGCCGAGGGCAAGGAAACGCGCGGCTACGACCCCTCGGTCGACATTGCCTGGCTGCGCAGCGAGGTGGTCGCCTGGATCCTCGGCAACTTGCTGCAGAAATGGGGCTCCCTCCGCCGGCGCCACGTCGCCGTCAAGGCCACGGCCGCCGAGACGCTGCAGCTCCAGTTCTCGGGCTACGGCTCCACGATGGCCATTGTCAACCGCACGCTCGACCGCGTCGCTCTCAAGGAGCCGCTCGAGGAGTGGTCCGACGCGACCATTGAGCGCGTCGTCAACGCCTTCATCGACGAGAAATTCCCCACCGTCATTGCGCTCAACAAGATTGACCACCCGGACGCGGACAAGAACATTGCCAAGATTGCCAAGATGCAGGACCCCGCCAGCATCGTGCTGTGCTCGGCCGTGTCTGAAATCTTTCTCCGCAAAATGGCCAAGCAAAAGTACATAAAGTACGTCGAGGGCAGCGAGTTTGTCGACACGCGCGAAGACCTCATCGAGCAGGGCGACCCGGACGGTGGCGGCCTCCGGGAGCTCGACGACAAGAACCGCAACCGGATAGAAAACCTCAAGGACATGGTGCTGTACCGCTTCGGCTCCACCGGCGTTGTGCAGGTGCTCTCCAAGGCGGCGGAGTTGCTGGGCTTGGTGCCCGTGTTCCCCGTGCGTAACGTGTCGACGTTTACGACGGGCGCGAACGATACGAAACACGTATTCAAGGATTGTGTGTTGGTCAGAAAGGGCTCGACAGTGGGAGACGTGGCGCGTAAAATCATGGGAGATGCCCCAATAGCGTATGTGGAAGGCGTAGGCAATATGAGAGTGTCAGAAGACGACCTCGTGACTGTTGGCAAGCATGATGTAAGTCCTAACCCCGATTTGGAGACAATAAGACTAACAGATGACCAGGTACTGTCATTCAAGGTCGGTAGGGCCTAACTTGAAGGCTAGTGACTCAAATCAATTGCTTGATTCAAAGTCACGGGTTGAAAGTCTTGATGGCGTGCACTGTATAGAAACGCGACGATGAGGATTATCAAGAAACTGGGCAGCATGGGCAATAGAATCGATATACATTTCATTTTCTTCTATGGCGTGACCGGGACTGGCCATTCCCGCGGTCGCTCGCCAAACGCTACCTTGACACCGTGTTTTGCTGCCGCCGTTCCAAGCTTGTCCATCAACGCGCCTCGTATTTGGTTCTGGTATATGAGCTTGAGCGTCTTTGTCTCCTTGATAATGGCTGAAATGACGGAACACATCTCCGCTTCATCGTAATGTTCGGATCGAATCTCGAGCGTCTCGAGTTTCGGAAACGTTGCGAGAAACGCCGGTAAAGGCAGGTCGTCAGAGGTTCTGGGAAAAGGGCGAAACCGAAATTGCGAGATGGACATGCAGCGGATTCCCGGCGATCCGGCCAGCCATTCATACTTGGCCAGGTGGGCTGAGCTGACGGCCCCGGCTGGCGTGGCGAGGGACTCTGGCGGGAACACGAGGTCCAAGGTATGAAGCTGGCCAGCGGCGGCCTGGCGCTGCGCCACTTGCTGCAGGCTCTCCGGATTGAGCACGGCATTGGCCAGCCTGATGGCCTTTAGGCTTCTATATTCATTCTGCCAGTTACTCTCAGGGTCCAACACAGTGCCGGCCATGTTCCAGACCTTTTGAATGGCTGGACCTGGCTCGAGAGTCAGAGGTTCTATGGCGACGGCGTCTGGATTGGGGCTCCATGGTAAGTCGAGATCGATATATTCCAGCTTGTGACCATGGTTTAGCGACGACAACAATCGTATGACGAGGCTGATGGAGAAGCGAGCGGCCGTGCTCGAGTTGCTCCCAGCAACAATCAAAGCTTTGAAGTTTGGCCAAATTTTGCTCCACTGGTACTCCCAGTCGCTGGAACGGTCGGGCAGCGTATCTTGCAGCCACAATTGTTCCAAGGCAGGCGTTTTCGAACCCATGTGCAGCTGCAAAGAAAAGTCAGGAGGGCGTCAAGTATCTCCGAGGGCTTGCTGGACCTACAATTGGAAATAGGGCTGTTGAGCCCGTGCGCATCTGCAAGTGTAGATACTTCAGTCTGGGCATGCAAGGCACATCCTGCTCCCGGAACCAGCTCATAGGCAGACCAGAAAGATGAAGCGTTTCTATCGTTTCGGCCACGGGATTCAAAAGCTCAAAGGGGTAGGCGCACGCCGGTATATAATCCAGACCGATAGCGGACTTCTTTGGTTCTGCGGCAAACAACCGCAGCGAAAGGGTCTTGAGGGTCTTGCAGATGCCTGCCGTCGGCGGTATCCTGAGTGTGTGGTCGGGACAGCTGAGTTCGAGATGCTCCAGCCGCACTGCTCCCTGTAATAAGACAAAAAGCTTGGCTTGCGAGAGCTGGAACCGGTGGTTCTGTTCTTCAATGACCAATCTCCGCACGTCGCGTCCGGCACCGGCGACGAGCTTTTTGAGAAAGTCTATGCGTGGTGGCCGTCGAGGTGTCGAGGAGCCTGTAAAGTCGAGGTCTTTCCACAGACTGGCGAAATCGCGCGACATGAGCGTCCGCTGCCACTGCTTGGAGACCCCCAAGCACCGTCTGAGTTATAGTCTCAGCATGAAATCACATGTTCACCTAGTGTTGCAGCAATACTTACACTCTCTGGACTAGATTGCAGTATGAAAGAATCCAAACGAACAATTCCGAAGGTAGAAAGATAGGATCCCTGCGACAATATCGTAGGTGAAGCTTATTCCGCGCATTATATAATTGCTGCATAGAGTAGTTAGCATGAAGCCTTGGAAGAATATGCGAAGGGTGAAACAACCTGAAATTTTGGGCTGGTGGCCATGCGACTCGCATTACCAGCATCGACACCAGCACTGTATATTTTCCAGGCATATTCATCCTTTTTTTGTAGCCGAGCAATCTTTCCCAATCGTAGATATCCCTATATACTTGTCAGCTCACGGATACTTGTTTCTTTTCATACCAGCCATGGGGCTGGTGCGCGCACACACATCGGGGAGACGAGGAGCCAGCTCGAGTATCCATTCCGCATCTCTTTTGGCCCGATCAAGCTCCTTCATCGATTCAAATGTAGCTGCCCTGTAGTCCAATGCCTTTATATGAACAGGATTGTCGCATTTATTAAACATTTTGCCGACAGAACAGGAGCAGGTATACATGGCCTCGTGGAAGATGGAGCCGCCCTTGTCCACCACAGCCTCAAAATTCTTGCACGAGCAGCGATCCCTCTTCATGCCGCGATTGCATCTACAGGAAAGCATCGCCTATGAAGACGAAAATAGATTAGAATGAATCAGCTCGCAGGGCAATGGACTCGGGAGCGGCATGGTGCTCGCTCCCTTCCACAGACATACCCTGGTAAAGTGTGCCAGCGCGTGCTTGTAGCGCTTTGCGCGGTACTCATCTTGCCCCGTCCTCACGGCGGCCTCTGCCTGGGCGCCAGACATGCCGACCTAGGTACAGCAATGTCCTGCAGACAGAAAGGCTCCGACGCAGACTTTCTTTCGAAGATTATAAAGAGGGAGCTTGCGCAGCGCGGGCAGCTACAATGGTTATCTCAGCGCGTTTGCACGTGTAAGGTGGTATCTGTGTGGCCCACTATGTTGATAGGTAGGGAGACTTGCCGCATGCTTGTACTTCGAAGGCTTGCGCGTCAACATCTGGAAGCCTTCTCTTAAGACATGCATTAAAAAATCATAAGCGGTCAAACAGTTGACAAGGGTGCCACGCTCGTCTGTTTTACGTGTTCTTTTTCCAACTTTTTTCCAACTATTTCTCTTTCTCCATTTGTAATTCAGTGAATTTTCTACTTAGCCCACCTTCACTGGCGACGGTATGATGCAGGACAAGCAATGCACCGACCATGCATATACTATGTCTGCCCTTCATCAAAGAATGGATCGATAGAGTCACTTATATAAAGGCGCCTCTATCTTTTCATAGACAGAAAGATAGATTATCATTTATATCCTTCCTTCTTCCACTTGTCCTTCAAGTAAAAGCCTCAATTTATTTGCATATTGCTCGCTGCGGATATTGATTGGTTCATACAAAAAGTGACGTTTGATCCGAGATTGCCATGATCCCGCAAAGGCAACTGACGGCCCGAGATGCATTTATCTATATTCGCTATTCAGTTGCCAACTGCACCTGCGCCGCAATGAAGCCAGACACACCGTTGCTGATCCAGCATTCCTCGCCGTCAACCAAGGTCTCCGCCTTGACGGATTCTTCTACCGCGAGTTTGCTGCCACATTGTTAGCTCGCTCTAGTCATACGCTGGGATGAAGATGCCTACTTTTCGAGGGCATATCGCCTCGAGGTCCCGTTGTTGCCTCCGCTGTCCATACCGGAGAACTCGGCTGAAACTGGAGGTGTAACCCACCGGCCATTCCTCCAAAAGTAAGGCGTGGTGATGCTGCCCTCCATGATTTCGCCGTTTTGCGCATTGACCATGAGCACTTCCTTGCGGTCGCCCGCGTTGATGCCGGCACGAGATCGTGCCTCATTGTACATGTCTCGCTTCGATGTTTTGTGGTGCGTAAATTCAGAGGGCGGTATGAGGGCACTGTCACGGAGGAGCGCGTACACGACTGATCGCTGGGCTTCCATGTCGCCCGGCGTAGCAGCCGGTGCGGGAAGACACGAGGGAAACAGATTCTCCATCGCAGCATCTGGCGTGTCAAATTTCTGAAATTCAATCGTGCCGTGCGCGTGTACGATTATTCGGAGTCGCACCGGCGTCATCTGAGATGTGCCGAGGAACTCGTTGGCAGAGTCGGCCAGCCTTGTGAGAGCCTGCTCGCCAGCGAGGGCATCCATAGCAGACTGCCAGCCCCAGTGAGTGGCGGCTCGAAGTAGACGATCGCGATGATAGTCTAAACAGTAAAATGGAGATACATGATGGTAGTTCCATGCGGCATGTTGAAAACCACGACTGGGTACCTGCTGCAAGCTAGGATCATAACGCAGCGAGGTGAATATGTAAAAGTTGTCGGTTCCAGGCATGATGAAGTGCTCGGGGGATTAGAATGCTGGGATGACTTGCTTGACTGATAAGCTGGAAAAGTTGGGCTTGAATGTATATTCGGATACCTCAATAGGAAGATGTATGACGGCACGCATTTTCCTAGTGGGAGAAGGAGTCATGTTGTAAATAAGCCATATCCACAAGCACTTGGGGTGATTGCAAGGACGAATTTAGCCATGGCTGAATAGATGAGACGAAAATGCATAGATGAAAATACTGGGGACAGAAGTCACAAAGCAGGTCAGCTTGTTTATTACTTTACTGCATGTACTATCGGAATTGACGCGCAGATTCTTCATGTGTGCTTTGACTTTACAATCGGCACAATGACGGCATGTACCAGCAATGTCATGATATTTGTAGACCAAACGCAACTGCTGAATTATAGCACCGCACAATCGAGAATCATTCGAGCCAGGTCACAAGTTGCAGTGCCTCAGGCAACTTGAGCAGGGCCCAAATTAATTTGTGGCCTATAAACTGTCACTGTAGCTTTGAAAAAGCACGTTGCAGTTGGCATTTGCGGACAGCCAGGGCCTACCTAGGCGACGGTCTCAGTGGATTACAGTGGACTGTCCCCAGTCGAACAACTTTCGGTAGGTATGTGTCTGATGACTAAGGCACTCTGGCCGTTGGCTGGTCGGCCTCCATATGTACGGCCTACGGTACAGTACGGAGGAAGCTGCAGCACCAAAATTACCACACACCACCTCTCGGCTGCAATCGTCTTTTTTTTCTGCTCCGCGACCCAGAAGCTTCTGCTTTCACAGCTCTCCCTACTCGCATCGGTCCTCCGCACCTGCAATTCACTGCATCACGGGACTGTCCTTGCTCTGATTCCTCTTTTATTTTCTTACCTCTCTTCTCTATACCTTGTAACTCTTTCCTTTTCTTCCAGGCATTGTATTCTACTTCTTCCACAGCAATGTCGAACCCCCTACCTTCCATGCCCGCCGTCCGCCCGGTCGCGGTGCCCGTCAGCGCTCCCTCCAGTACCTGGGATCGCATTACTTCATGGGCATCCGAGAATAAGGCCGTTGTATATACTATTGCCGGTGTCGCTGTTGTTATAACTGGTGCTGGCGCTGTATACTATCTCAATTCGGACTCTGTGAGTGCCATCTCGGATTCAAAAGCTATCCGACGTCATCGACCATTTCCACTCCGATCATCCTTCCGTCAAATAGTCTTCATTACTAACAATGCCCGCCTGTCGTAGAAATCAAAAGATGATGGAGTTCCTAAGCTCAGCAAAAAGGAACGTCGCAAGCGCAAGGAGGCCGAGCGCAAAGCCGCCGAGAAACAGTCCGCCCCTGCGTCCTCGCAACCGAAAACTTCCACTGTTCGCGTCGGCGAAGAGCTTCCCGAGGTCGACGAAGCCATTGTACAGACCCTCACCCAGGAGCAGCGCGAGCAGTATGCTGCCCAACTCAAGCAGGCTGGCAACAGAGCTTACGGCGACAAGGCCTACAACGAAGCCATCGACCTTTACACCAAGGCTATCCTCTGCAAGCCTGACCCCGTCTTCTACTCGAACCGTGCTGCATGCCATGCAGCCATATCAAATTGGGACACCGTGATCGAGGATACCACTGCCGCCATCACCATGGACCCCGACTACATCAAGGCCATCAATCGCCGCGCCACCGCCTACGAGCACAAGAAGATGTACTCCGAGGCTCTCCTCGATTTTACTGCCTCGTGCATTATTGATAACTTCAAAAATGATACTACCGCACAGGCTGTTGAACGCCTGCTCAAGACCTTTGCCGAGGTCAAGGCCAAGGAGATGATGTCTTCGCGCTCTCCCAAGCTTCCCAGCCCCATCTTTGTCGGCAACTACCTCCAGAGCTTCCGTCCCAAGCCTCGCCCCGCCGGTCTTGAGGACTCTGCCGAGCTATCTCTTGACACCGGTCTCGGTCAGCTGCAGCATGGCCTTCAGGGCCTTGAGAAACGCACTTCCGAAGGATATGAAGAGGCTCGTCTTGCTTTTGAAAAGGCCATTGAGCTTGGCGATCTCGGTGATAACGAGGCGCTCGCCTACAACTGCCGCGGCACTATGCGCACCCTGCTCGGCGACCACTCTGCCGCCACTGAGGATTTTGATAAGAGCATTGAGCTCGACCCCACCATGACCCAGAGCTATATTAAGCACGCCAGCATTAGTCTCGAGCTTGGCGAGACCGCTGAAGCAGACCGCGAATTCGCCGAGGCTCTCAAGCAGGACCCCAACGATCCTGACGTCTACTACCACCGCGCCCAGGCCAACTTCATTAGAGGTGATCTCTCCGAGGCTCAGAAGGATTACCAGAAGTCAATTGATCTGGACAAGGACTTCATCTTCTCCCACATTCAGCTTGGTGTGACACAGTATAAGATGGGCTCCATTGCTTCTTCCATGGCTACCTTCCGCCGCTGCATCAAGAACTTTCCCAAGGTCCCAGATGTATACAACTACTATGGTGAGCTGCTGCTCGACCAGGGCAACTTTAGCGAAGCTGTCGAGAAGTTTGACACTGCCGTGGAGATGGAGAAGCAGACCAAGCCCATGTCTATGAATGTGTTGCCCCTGATCAACAAGGCGCTTGCTCTGTTCCAGTGGAAGCAGGACTTCAAGGAGGCTGAAAACTTGTGCGAAAAGGCTCTCATCATTGACCCCGAGTGCGACATTGCCGTAGCCACCATGGCCCAGCTCCTTCTGCAGCAGAACCAGGTCGCCAAGGCCCTCAAGTACTTTGAACGCGCCGCCGAGCTTGCCCGTACCGAAGGTGAGATCGTCAATGCCCTTTCTTATGCCGAAGCCACGAGAACGCAGGTCAAGGTGACGGAAAAGTACCCCCAGCTTGCAGCCAAGCTCGCCGCCTCGGGAGCCGGTGGCGGTCTGCGCATGGGCGTTTAAACAGTGCAACGATGTTGAACCACGACGCGGTTGTGTGTGCATGATATTAATACAAAAGAGAAACGAAAAAAAGGTGTGAGCGACAATGTACGATGGTGTCTCTGACGGAGGGATGCGAGTGATACGCTCACGACGACGGTCTGTTTTGGTTTCCCCCCCCTCCCCTATCCAATCCCCCTCCGACGAGGAAGACGGCAAAAAGACGCCTAGGATTTTCTTGTAATGTTCTTGGGAGTGGCAAAGAAAGGTCATTTGTTTAGTAGAGAGAGGCAGCTACAATTCTTTCTTGTTGTATCTTGTTGCGATTGGGAAAAGGCGCCTCTTTCTTGTGTACATCCCCTCCACAATCATCATCCTTGTGGTATTATCTGGTATTTTGTTTTTTTCTTCGCATTTCCATGAATGAAAACTTCTCTCATCTACTCTTTGGCAACTCCCTTGTTCCTGGAATAGGTAACATGTGTCGTGTCAGCGAAACAAACATGTTCTTTGCCCCCCTCGGACTTTTGAAATGGTGGCAAGCATGGTACTTGACAAAGTACTTCGTTGAACCTAATATGTTTGATTCTTATACATAATTACGTGAAGAACATACATTTCATCGTCCGATATCTCGTTTGGTAGATTGCCTTCCTACTCATTAGCCTTCCTCCGCATTAGCGTGTAATCTGGCCAGGATTTTAATCAAAGTGCAAGCATTTCCGCTGGTATAAAATCTTTTCCTGGCAGTCGTGCGACGGTAGCTTTCTGCCGCTCGAGTCCGTTGAATTTAGCCATGGCCCCTTCCTATTTGTTTTTCCCCTTCACAAATCACGTCCTCGTCGCATTTTTAGTTAGGGTGATGCCCAAGGCAATGCCCAAAACGGCGGCAATGATGATGAGGACAACGATAAACAGGCACCACCACTTGAGCTTGCGGCGGTTGCGAGCGCTCTTATTGGCTTGGCTGACTTGCTGGTTGCCCGACTCGAGGTTGTCAACGACGTCCTGACCCTTGTTCTCGGCGTCGACAATGATCGTCTCCTGCTGCTCGACCATGGTGGCCAGCTCCTGGTACAGGACGGCGAGCTCGGTGAGGGTCTGTTCAATGCGCTGCAGCTCATTGTGGCGGGCGCGGACGTTGCCGAGGACGGATGAGGCGTGGCCGGAACGATTTGTGCGGAGCTGTGAAGGTGTTTTAGCTCGAGGTCTTTTCTTTTTCTCACCATGAAGTTGAAAGCGGGTGTTTCAAGCAGTCATCGTTGCGGATGTGATGGGTAGACCAGCAAAGCTTGCCCGCGCAAAGCCGGCATTGGAAAAATTGAACAAAAAGAAATACGAGCGAAGCGAGGAAAAAAACCAAAAAAAGCTTACGGCAGTTTGGAAAACACCCTCATTGCCCCAATCGGCCTCGGTGGCCTCCTGGACCTCTTGCTCCGACGCCTCCGGGTTGACGATGCGGTACTGTCTGGCGATCTGCTCCCTGTACTTTTGCCTGTACTCGCGTTCGATGCTCTGGTACGAGTCGAGCTCCGACTTGAAAAATGTCTTGAGGGACTGCAGCTGGGTCTGCTTAGTCTTGCGGGTGGCATCCGAGGTGCGGGCGAGGTCGCGCTCGAGGCCCTTGATGCCGTCCTTGATGGCCGTGTTGCGAATCTGGGTCTGGGCGACGTAGTGCTCGAGCTGCTGGTCAGCCTGGGGGTCGGCGGCGCCGAGTGAGCGCTGGTGTAGCTGCCCAATGGTCTCAATGTCACCCGTCAGGCGATTGATGTCGTTGCGGAGGGACTGCACGCGGCTGAGGAAATCTTGCTGAGAGAGAGGCTGAGTGTTGGACGTCGTGGTGGCGGCGCCGGGAGCGGCGCCGGAGTTCTGGTAAGGAGACGTCTGCGGATTCTCTTGGAGCTCATAGCTATCTTGCGCGTAGGGGTTGGCCTGCGAGTAGAATCAAGGAATTAGCTAAGGGGGACGTGGTCAAATTGAGTACTCGGGCGCAAGCCTCTTTGCATGGATGGCTATCTGCAGCGGCTGTTGACGGAAACTGCGCCAGCGCTGGGCAGAAAAGACGTCAAACACAGCTGTGCAGAGCTACAAACATGCGCGGAGCAAGACGACATGAGGGAAAAAATCGGTTGTAAGTACCTGACCATAGCTGTAACCGGCCTCTTGCGCTGGTGCTTGCTCGTATGGATTCGGTTGGCCGTAAGACATGATGGACGAGCAGCCGACGGAGCGAATTATACGACCAAATTATAGGTCGAGGGTGAATTTCGCAATTAAAGGGGATTCGAGGAGTCGCCGCGAGAAACAAATCGAGGGAAGAAGGAAAACAAACGGGAAATTGGTTGAGGAGGAGAAAAATGCGATGCAGCGGGAGAGGCGGAGATGGGCAAAAAGGCAAAAGTCCCCCCTTGTGGTAGTGTATTTGCGGCAGGTCGCTCTCTCTGGTGATGACGAACCAGATGCAAGCTACCTTGGTTTGTGAAGATCCCGTCTAGGTAGCAGCGGTGGCGATTATCGCAAAGGATGGGCGGAGCAGTTGAAAGTGATAATTACGAAAATACGGAATCAATCAAAATCCCAATTGATGGGACTGTTTCTCTAAAATACCTGCTCGTTTTTTTTTTCCCTTTTTGAGCCATCTCATCCCAGGATCGGGCCATGTCAGCAGCCAAGAGATAAGTACCTTGGTACTGTCCGTACATACCTACTAATTATACCTAAGTAATAAGCACGAAACGAAGTATTCGTCAGGCAGCAGAGAAAAGGCCGCCTTTGATCTCGGTCTAGCGTCAAATCTTCACTGTCGCGCCAGAAGTTCCCGCTAAATTATACAGCAAGTACGGAGTATGGCCAGAACCAAAAATAGGCTTTCCATCTGCCCGCGACACGCAAGCTTGCCACTTTCCGCTTGCAGGGGTGCTTGAAGACGGGTTCGCATCCCACTTCCTCCTCGCCTGCGCCATGGCAATCCGAACACGCCGCATCATCATAACGAGGCTGTGACGAGGCTGACAAACCACAGCAATAGCACTGCGCCTCCAAGCAGTCCGCCCTAAGCATCCGATGACGGATTCAACTTTTGATCTGGTTCAACATCTTTCTTATCTTCTTTATTCTCATGCTTCGTTGTTGATCTGCATACTTTATCCGTTTATTTGCGTATACACTTTGGCCTCAGATCTCCCTGCACAGATTGCTGCATGTCCGCAGCGAAGTAGAGCACGACCACGCCAACCACAGCCACCACAGCCACCAACCGAGAGCACCCTTGATCATTCAACCTTATTAATGGGTAAATAATTTTTGGCATATCTATTTTCGTATATGTACAATATCCGTAGATTTACTCATCTACCTATCGTGCGCAAATGTCGTCATAATGCATTCACTTCGGCTCCATCGCCAAGTCGATAGCTCGGTGCCTGATGTCAGGCTTATCCTGGTCTCGAGCACCAATCAACCCGCCCTGCCGTCGACCTGCTCTAGACCATGGCGTCTTTCTTTCACAACGACTACCAGGAGCCAACGATGCCCTGTATGCATAATGTTATCCATCGCAGATCACTGCGTATCGAACTCCGGCAGCCTGGGCGGGTCTGTCCCCGACATTCAGGACATTTCGGGCCAAGGTATTTTCCGAACATTTGGCCACAGATCTTATATTCTTCGGCAGTCGCTCCCATGATGATGTCCGTGTCCTCAGCTCCCTTTACAGATAATTCTTCTTCTTCGCCGTCCGCGTGAACTGCGACAGATGCCACTCCACATCACCTTCTTTATTCTCCAATGTGCCTGCGCGAATCTCAAAAGGCCGCATCGTCATCCGCGGCCCAACCTCTGCCAGCTCCACGCTGTCGTACCCAGTCCGCACGAAAACGTGATGTCGTACCTCTATACTATCGTCGATGTTTTTAAAAGTCACTACACGGCTGCCCATTTTGTTTTTGCTTGTAATCGGCTCGCGTGGCGGGAAGATATGCTTCAAAACTTTGACGACACGCTTGCCCAAAGGCGTTTCGAATCCGTCAAATATGAGATGGGGATATGACTCGCTGACGGTGCCGCGCACGCTGCCGGGGATGTCATGTCGCAGAACGACGTTGTGAAGAGAAAATGACACGGTCGGACCGTGGGGAAAGTGCGACAGCGTCATAGCCGTTGGCGTACCTCTGTGTTCGTGCAACACAATCACGTCCGACAGGCCAGACGCCTTGGCCGAGCGCACGAGCTCGGGCAGAATGAGGTTACCACGGTTCAGGCGAATCGCGGTCGGCAGAAGAAGGCGTATCTCCTTGGCAAAAGCGCCCAGTCTCGCCGAGGGGTCGCGTGAGGTCGTGACGAGGATACGCGGATCGACGATGCCAGAAAGCTGGGCGTACTCGTCGTCTAGGTCCAGCTGCTCGGCCGTCGTCGTGTCGACCGACTCGTCGTACTGGTAGTCTTTGCGCAGCGATTGATCATTGGCAATTGTAGGATCCAGGGGCTTGCCCGACGCAAGCGACGATCTCATCTTGGCTCTCTTCTCGCTGATTTCGGCATCGCGCAGAAGGACGGCACGACGATAGAGATAATCTCTCGTGTTCCGAACATGCCTGCGCTACAAGACAACCAATTAATATCTCTATATTCCCACTCCGTCATTAAGGCAACTCACATTCATCATCTTGCAGGATTTTGGTGGCTTCTATGCCTTGCTTGAATTCAGTCGGCCGAAAAAAAGTTACCAGAGGAAGTAGTAGTTCATGAGTTAGCCAAAAAGTTTGGATATCTAGGCGCTATCGATAGCGCTCCCACCTTATCACGTGTACCTAAATTGTCCCACCAAAGCAGCCTTGGTGGAGGGAACCAGCGATGGCGGATTGCGCATCTTTGTCGGATTCTTGCTCGCCGGCAAAATTGAGTCTGTTTGCCTCCCTCGCAGCTTCAACCCAGATTCGTTGTCCCTACGAGCGCCTCTCAGCTTGCGCGCACGCCACCCTTGGCCCTTCATTCTCTTTCCGCCGCCATCTTGCCCGCGATGATGTGAATCACTCCCGCAAACAATTCCTAGTGTATTATTTCTCAGTCCCCAACTGAGCGCCACTTGCGTGCCACCAAAGCTTCTTCTGGCAATTATTGGTACGTTGTGAAAATGGAGACTATTGCGTTGTACCGAATGAATATTTTTACATCGCTTTATCTTTTGCTACTACCAACCGTGCTAACTGTATAGATAGCGAAAGAAAATTTATCGCCACCTCCCGCCCGCAACGAAGACGAGCAACATGGAGGGAGCCTTCACTCATGTAGGAAATCACCTCGTTTCTGACTCGGCTGCCGCTATCAATGCTGGAAACGACGATCTTTCCACCCTCGATCCCGATGAGCGCCTCCTCTATGGCAAATATAGCGATCATGGCGGCCGCCGCCGCGCCGACGACGATGACAACCAGACCGAGACTTTCGAGGACGACAATGACAGCCTGGCCAGTATACCGGTCGACGAAATGGTAGGGCTGAATCTCAAGAACACGGACGAGGAGAAAGAGCTCCCCGCGTACGCATGCGCGTAAGTAGATATCTGGAACGCCTTCAACGCTCTCGCGCAAGCTAACATGCTATAGGTACTGCGGTATCCACGCTCCTGCTTCCGTCGTCAAGTGTTTGGTCTGTAACAAATGGTTTTGCAGCGCCCGCGGCAACAGCACCTCATCCCACATCATAAATCATCTCGTTCGAGCCCGCCACAAGGAAGTTCAGCTTCACCCCGAATCCGCCCTTGGCGACACCATTCTCGAATGCTATAGCTGCGGTACCAAGAATTCATTTCTGCTTGGCTTTATTCCCGCCAAGTCTGACTCTGTCGTTGTTTTGCTGTGTCGCCAGCCTTGCGCAGCATCGGCTTCCAACAAGGACATGAATTGGGACCCCTCCCGCTGGGAGCCTCTGATCAAGGAACGCGCGTTTCTCGATTGGCTCGTCAGCGCCCCCTCCGAAGCCGAACAGTTACGCGCTCGTCACATGTCTCCCAACACCATTGCTCGACTAGAGGAGATGTGGAAGCTAGAGCCCAACGCCACCATTTCCGATCTCGACAAGGGCCAGACTGTTGACGACGACCCCGACCCCGTGCTTTTAAAATACGACGATGCATTCCACTACCAAAACATTTTTGGGCCGCTTGTGAAAATGGAATCTGACTACGACAAGAAGCTCAAAGAAGCCCAGTCCGAGGACAATCTGACTGTAGAATGGTCGCAAGGTCTTAACAACAAGCACCTGGCCACCTTCAACCTGCGGAAAATTGAGTCCGGAGAAGTCAAGCTTGCCGTTGGTGATGAAATGCTGCTTCGTTACAACGGCGAGCTGAGGGAGCCCTGGCAGGGTGTGGGCTACGTCATGAAGATCCCCAACAGCCAGTCCGACGAGGTTTGTCTTGAGCTGCGTAAGAATGGCAATGACAGATCAGTCCCGACCGACCTTTCCCACAACTTCTCGGCCGACTACGTCTGGAAGGCTACCTCCTATGATCGCATGCAGCTTGCCATGAAGACATTTGCCGTTGACGACATGAGTGTTTCCGGTTTCATTTTTCACACGCTACTCGGTCACGACGTTCAGCTGCAGCCAATGAAGTCCAACCTGCCTAAGAAGTGGTCTGCACCAGGCTTGCCAGATCTCAACCAAAGCCAAGTAGACGCGATTCGATCGGTCCTTCAGAAGCCGCTTAGTCTTATACAAGGCCCTCCTGGTACTGGTAAGACGGTGACATCTGCCACCATCATCTATCACTTATCCAAGATAAGTGGGAACCAGGTTCTCGTATGTGCGCCCTCCAACGTTGCTGTTGATCAGCTCTGCGAGCGCATCCACCGCACTGGCCTCAAAGTCGTTCGTTTGACAGCCAAATCCCGTGAAGATGTCGAGTCATCTGTCAGCTTCCTTGCTCTTCACGAACAGGTTCGAATGTCTGAGCATAATTCTGAATTCGCCAAGCTGTCGCAGCTCAAGAATGAGGCTGGCGAACTGTCCAGCCAAGATGAAAAGAAGTTTCGACAATTGACCAAGGCAGCTGAACGAGAGATACTCAACAACGCCGACGTTGTTTGCTGCACTTGTGTTGGTGCCGGCGATCCGCGTCTGTCCAAGCTCAAATTCCGCAGTGTACTCATCGACGAGTCTACCCAGTCCGCGGAGCCTGAATGTATCATCCCGCTCATGCTAGGCTGCAAACAAGTCGTCCTCGTCGGTGACCACAAGCAACTTGGCCCTGTCATCATGAATAAGAAGGCTGCCAAGGCTGGTCTCAGCCAGTCTCTGTTTGAGCGTCTTATGCAACTTCGCCTCCAGCCGATTCTTCTGAATACCCAGTACCGCATGCATCCTTGTCTATCAGAATTCCCGTCCAACATGTTCTACGATGGCAGTCTGCAGAATGGCGTTACACAGGAGCAGCGAATCCGCAAAGACGTTGACTTTCCCTGGCCTGTTGCCGAGATGCCCATGATGTTCTGGTCCAACATTGGCAACGAAGAAATCTCTACCAGCGGTACTTCGTACCTGAACCGAACGGAAGCCTCCAATGTGGAGAAGATTGTCACGCGATTCTTCAAGGCAGGCGTCAAGCCCTCCGAAATTGGTGTCATTACGCCGTACGAGGGCCAGCGAAGCTACATTGTGACGACTATGCAGAATGCGGGCACCTCGAAGAAGGAGTACTACAAGAGTGTAGAAGTGGCGTCTGTTGATGCTTTCCAGGGTCGCGAAAAGGACTTTATTGTTCTGTCCTGCGTGCGTTCCAATGAAAACCAAGGCATTGGTTTCTTGTCTGATCCTCGTCGTCTCAACGTCGCCCTGACACGTGCCAAGTACGGTGTGGTCATTCTCGGCAACCCCAGAGTGCTTTCTAAGCACGAGCTCTGGTATAACTTGCTCACTCACTTCCGCGACCGCCGCTGCTTCGTCGAGGGCCCCCTGACCAATTTCCAGCAGTGCCTTCTTCAATTCAGCAAGCCCCGGTCGCACCGACAGAAGCTCGGCAACCAGATTCCCACTGGTGGCTATCAGAACCAGAACGGACGTTTCAACGGCTCGAGCACAATACGCGACTTTGACTCTAGTTCCATGATGTCGTACGTGCCCGACGACGTCTCCTCCATCCATGGCTCAACTTTTGGCGGTGCAGCCCTCAACTCGGCATATCCCTCAATGTTCTCCAACTTTGCCCCCGAGCAGTGGCCCGGTCTGCCCGGCGTCGGTGCTCATGGCCACCGCAGTGGAAAGAGCCGCGCCCGTACTGCCGAAAGCGTCGCAGGCGAGAGCGTGGCCAACTCTGAGACCACGGACACGTCGTCCAGCATCATTGGCAGCCGTGGCGTGGGCCAGGGCGGTGTTAGTCTCGGGGCCGGCCTGCAGGATGCCGTCACGGGCATGCGCGCTATCTCCTACACCCAGAGCGACCGTCTGCGGCAGTACGTTGAGAGCGGCGCTCGCAATCCCCCGAACAACCGCTACGGCGGCCGTCGCCATGACGACGACAACAGGAGCGTCAGCACAGCCTTTCACAGCCAAGTAGGAGGTGGCTACGACTGAGCGGGTCAGCGATTTGAGACGTATCAGACTTGCGTCTGATTAGAAGAACGTTTTTGGGTCAATGGCCCTGATTTCGCAAAGCTCAGTCAGCGTCACAGAGACCACCATCTGTCCGGCTTATCCCCCCGCTCATAGCCAGCATGAGGTCTGCTCTTCCGACAAGGGCCAGCGATTGCACGCGAAGAAGACACGGCGAATTACGCCGGAGATGCCACGCTTTTGCGGCCATTGCGATTTAAATCGTTCCGCCGCTCGGTGCACCTAGACGCGAATACAGTCCTTTCAACAAGGTCTGATCTCCCATCGGATGGCCACCGTTGGCCTTCTTCCTTTAGCTTACATTTTATCGGCAAGGCTGCGGGTATTGGCCCGGCTCTCGCCGTATCGCAGCGGAAATCATGGATTAAACTAAGCGATGAAGTTCACTAGCGGACATTACTGCTGATTAGAGAAGGGGAGGCTGTGTTGAATGAGGAATAGAAAAGAAGAAGATGTTATATAGATGGCCCTGGCACAGCGCTGAGCTTGGCTTGGCGTGATAATCTGTTCGCTGAGCTACCGTGTGCCTCGATGTGTACTTGCCAGATATATTGACAATCAAAGTTATATTTGCTCTTCAATAGCCATATATGGCATGTATGCTTTGAAAAGGTGCATGGACTGACTGATCGTTGTCGGCAAACCAGCATCAATTAGAACCTGGCACTTGAATCATTGTTCAGCCGGGGCCCAATTACTTTTTCGCACTTGGCAGGGAAAAAGACTGCAATTCCAATCTACGTAAGCCGGTTCTGTTTCACAGGATGTATAACGATGCATGTCAGGTTGCGCGATTGCCACGCTTCGGCTCACACCCTTGGCGGCGGCCTTGTGCTGACCACATCCAACTAAACTACAACGGCGAATTTCTTTTTATCCTTTTTTCTAATATGGCTGCTTTCCTTGTACGGGGAAAGCTGTAAGTGTCCAAAACTATAATATGACTTTTGAAATTATCTGAAAACAATGGAGCGCTCGGTAGGGCAAAAGGGGAGCCAGATTGGGGGTTTCGTATCTGGCGTAGCGACCAAGAGTCACATTTCGCTCACGCATCATCGACTTACATGCTTTTTCTTTCTTTTTCGCAGAGGCTGCGGCAAGGCTCGGAAAGGCAACGTCAACGTCCAAGTGGAGTGTTATTTGATAAAAGGGAGACGCATGGTCCTTTGGTCAATCTCTTGAAGATGCATCCCGAAAGGTATTCCCCTCCTACAGACATAGTCGTATCTCATCTTGTCAGCAGTCTCATCAAATGTAGCTAGGTCCTTGAAATCATATTATTCGCTTTTTGACGAGTACCTGACCATCTGGCTCATATATTAATCCAGTCTATTAGAATATGTACCTGTGCCGTCACATTTCAAATCATCATCGCGAGCTACCCTCGCATGTGTTGGCACCGGTACGGTTTGCTCGTTCGGGGGATGATGCCTGACCTTGGGTAATTGTCCCATGGCGTCGTAAACTTTAAACACAGCGGCGGTCAGTTCAATTTGTACGCTGCTTTCGTCGCATGGTGTATTGACGACGTAGTTGAAATATGCCTGTACAAGTCTTAAATGACAAAGGGAGATTCACCATGAAGTCGATAGATACTACTCTCCAGACGACCAAGTTTTAGTGGCCAAGCACTCATCGGACCAGACTATCACGTCTCAAGTCGGCCATGTCGGCGGTTCGCATATATCGGTGCTATGCCTGGGGTCATATGCCGTGTTTCATACGTCTTATACCTCGTCCCTATCATCTGCGGCCAAGCAAAGCAAAAGCAAGATCGTGGTGATGATTGGGTCAGGTTAAAATCTAAGGGCTCAGATGATCGAGATTACATCGACAACTGTTCCAATAGTCCACCTGGTATTCGGCTCCGAGCCGGCTCGGTGTGGTGGTTACACCGCCGCCCCATAAAATGACATCGAAGACCAGAACAAGCTCACCAACACCAGGCCCTCAATACCTCCCATAACTCACGACCGAGAAACCGCCTCCCTCCAATAAAGAGAGAGTACCCCAACCTTTTTCCCCAAGAAATCACCAGCAATGGCCGCCTTGGCGCGTGCCGCGCCGTGTCCGCGCCTCTTTCTGCGCTCCACGACGACGTCGTCATCCACGTCGGCGGCCTCGCCGCAGCCGGCACCGTCGCCACCACGTCCAAGCCGCCGCATCGTGCGCTGCTCCACGGCTGCGTCATACTACAGCAACAACTCTCTCTGGTTAGCGCCCCCATCATGTCAACAGCAGCAGCAGCGGAGGTCGTTTGGCTGTACCAGGAGCGTGCGACGCGACTTGACCAAGAAGAACCACTACGAGCGTTTGCAAGTCCCTCAGTCCGCCACACGCAGCGACATTAAAAAGTGCGTTTTTTTTGTTCTCCCCGTCTCATACGTATATACATATATCTGTGTGTGTGTGTGTTGTGCCGTCTAACAATCCACTCTAGATCATTCTACAAGCTCAGCAAGACGCACCACCCCGACGCCAACCGCAACGACCCCAACGCCGCGCACACCTTTGCCCTGCTATCCGAGTCCTACACACTCCTCTCCGACCCCTCGCGCCGCTCCCTCTACGACCGAGACGTTATGGCTCGCCTGCAAACCCCGTCTTCCACCCACTCGCCTCACCACGGCTCCTACCACTCCGCTGCGCACCACTCGGCCGGCGGCCGCCCTGCCTCGGGGCTCTCCAAGCGCCGGGGCAGCTTCCGCGGGCCTCCCCCTTCCTTTTACCGCAATGGCGGGTGGGGCGCTCATGCGGACCGGCGACGGCGGGCTCACGAAGACACCGCCGGGTCCGCGTCGAACTCGTCGGCCTCGTCATCGTCGTCGTCGCACTACACACACTACACAAATTACGAAAGCTCGGGCCCGGGTCGCCTCGACGAAGAGGGCGTACCTCTGCATTTCGATAAAGAGGCGCACCGGCGGACGCATGAAAAGGAGGACCGCCGGCGGTGGGCGAGGCGCAGACGCGCGCTGGACGAGGAGGGCGTCGAGTTTGAGCCGCAGACGAGCCTGGGCGCGCACTTTGCAATCGTGCTGGGGATCCTGGGCGCGACGGTGCTGGTGCCTGTGTGGTACTGGAACACGATGAGCGGGAAGAGGAGGAAGGAGTTTTAGCGTTGCTTCGAGATCATGGGCCATCGATGATCATGTGTGTATATATTTGCATGATGGCCGGTAGGATTTGGGCAATCCTACCGGCAGAGAATCTACCCGATTCTGCATACACTTTGACTTGTACATGCTCAGTCACCGTCAAATACACACGAGTACAACCAAGTTTTGGCCAAGAAACGAATCATCCACTTCTAGTCATACCCTTAAAATCACATCGCTAGACCGAATCGTAGAAGTCATCTTCCAAGGACATCATTAAGATAATCTCTTACATCAACTATACATCTACATGCGAGATTAACCACGCGCAATCTGCACGCATCGAGTAGGGTGGTATATAACGCTGGGTACTGCCTGCTGGGTCATCGAGGGTATTTTAACCCTGGAAAGTGAAGCTGGCACCGAGCTGCAAACGGTTAGTAACCCGAAGCCGCCTTTATTCCTCATAGTCACATACCTTGTGGGTGGCCTGGTCCAGTTTCTGGGTGTCAAAGGAGCCGCCGAGACCTAGGGTGACGCCTTCGCGGAGGAGGACGTTGTAGCCGACGGCAGCGATGCCGCGGTCGTTGAGCTTGACCTTGGCAAATGAGACGGGGTCGATGCGGTACTTGGAGGCGACCTCGAGGCCAACGGCGTTGCCAGTCTTGGAGTTCCAGGTGGCCTTGGCGCCGGCCTCGACCTGGGAGTTGACCTTGTGGTAGTACGAGGCGGCGAAGATGCTGAGGTTGTCGGTGGCGGTGACAGCGGCGCTGTACTGAGGCGCCGTGTAACCGACAGCGGCCGAGTAGGTGGTGATGGCGGCCTTGTTGACGTCGTAGCCGGCCGAAGCGCCGGCGAGGAAGCCCTCGTGGCCGACGACGGCGTCAATGTTGGCCGTGGGGCCCTTCAGCAGGTCGAAAAAGGCGCGGCCGTGGAAGCCGGGCTGCTTGAAGAGCAGGTTGAACTTGGCGCCCTTGGCGGCGGTGGCGGGCAGGAAGTTGAAGAGACCCTCAAGCTTCAGGCCCTTGGCGAGGGTGTCGTTAACCTCGAGCTTGGTGTCGAGGACGTTTGCCGTGTTCCAGGTCTGGGTGAGGGTGAGGCCTGCGTATCGTCAAGGTTAGTAGGGCGGCCGATGGGGGACGAGAGATTTAGGACGCGGCTGTGCGCAGCGTATGGGAAACTTCACGTCGCTCGAGATCCAAGCCCAGCAATGTGTTGCTCCGTAGTGCGCGCAAAACTCGAAACGTCGGGTGGTGGAACCGTACCGGTGGGCTTGTCGGTGTATTTTCCCTCGATCTTAAGGGCGAGTCAGCTTGCGGAGGTTCGAGGAAGCAGAGAATTCAGGGCAGCAACTTACAGCAGCAGAGGTCTGCTTGTCGTGGCTGGACTTGCCGGTGACCTTGAAAGCAACGCCATTGGGAGCGGTGTCCTTGAACTCAAAGGTGCTGGCCGCGAGGTGGTAGAAATCCTTGTTCAGGAGCTGTCGTAGGAGAAGAGAAGGGTTAGTTTAGCTGTCTTGTTTGCGCAATCATATTTTGCCACGTGTATGCTAGTTTCAATTGGGCGCAAGCAAGGCCGACACTCATCAACTCAAGGGCTGAGCGCAAGCCAAGGGCGAGCAGGGCATCATCGCGCAGGACGAAGAAGAAGAAGAGCCATCTTCGGTATGACAAACGGATAGCACCGGGGACTAGACAGCGCAAAGGGTGAAGCTGCGAATAAAAAACATACATCGTTGGCCGGCTTAGCAATGTCGGAGAAGGCAGGAATAGACATGATGACTGATTTGTGAGGGTGCACGGGTTGGTATGGAGAAGAAGAGGTGTCTAGAGGGTGATGGTGTTTTGGAAGTTGGTAAAGGAAAGGGAAGAAGCAAACTGAAGCAAATTTGGCGCAGCCCTGGGCCTAGGCGTGCTCAACGTTGGGATCCCGCCAGTGGGTTCAGTGTTTGGTGTGGGTTCAGAGCTCTTTCATTGGTTGGTAATGTCTTGGTCCCCGGTACGGAGTAATGCAGCGCCAGAACATGTGCCTGTCAAAAATAATGCAAGTACGGAGTAGGTATCCGTAATTACTTACAATTCATGTAGGTACTCCGTATTAATAGCGAGTTTGCCCGTCCCCGACATCAGCCGATCCGTCAGCCTTTGCAGCTCACAAACATCCGGACTCTGGACTGGGCTTCGACAGTATTAATACCTGCGTGTCCGGCACTGTGAGCCTCACCTTACTCACCTTACTCGGACACAGAACGCTGGACATTAGGCAACGGAATTCACTACAAGTTACATGACAAGTCCGAAACAAGCCTCCTTCACAATGGCAGATAGGTATGACCATCACATCTACCACTACTGTCCACGCTCCCCTCGGCAGACGCATGCACGCATCTCTCTCCACGTGGGGGGCGTTTTCTCATTCATTTATCGTTAATTACTCGTCATGCTCGTTACTGCTCCCTCTCACCCACTTTCTGTTTAACTAGCCTTCTTCTCCGGATTTCTAGTATTCTTTTTTTTTTTTTTTTGACATTTAGTAGTCGTATGAAGTTAAAATTACTTTTTTAGGCATTAACAAGCCCCGGTCTTATCATTTTCCAGGATTGAATTAATCGTCGAACTAAACTCATTCTCTACAAAGTACACAAATAGACCACTGTTCTCCCATAATTACCATGCTGTGCCTGTAAACAACGCCGTCGCGCCATTGGCCTGCTCCGTGTATTGGTCTCAGCCTACAGAGTTGACGCGCCAAACTTGGCCTTGTGACCGGAAAGCCGTTCCTTGAACGAACAAGTCACGAGCTCCTATTCAGGCTCGGCATAATTTACTTCCTAGAAATGTCCACAGCATTTAAAATTGCCACATTGATTCTTATGCTATTACTCCGACGCGGGGACTGCTATACCCTGGTGCCTCACTTCAGCCCACCAGGCTTTTAGCCAATAGCCTTGCCGCTAAGCAACAGTCACATGAAGTAGATGTTGGCATTTTCAGAACCAGAGAATTGCATTTTTCAACCATTCTATCGAGCTAAACAGACCTCATTCTACTTAACTTTTGTCAAGCATGTGAAAAGCAGTCGACCCTCCTGGAACTCCTACTTCCGTTGAATCTATGCGGCATTGTCGTACTTTTGGTTGTGGGTAGATATAGCTCTAAAAATACCCGTTAGCGAATAACATCTACAGCAATAATACAAGGGGTTGCTCTAAACGCACCGGCCACTGGGGTCCGACTGCTTGGACCAAGTCGGCGCCCAGCGCATGACGGTCGAGGCACAGCGAGGCGGAAAGTGCTCGTCAAACATCAGACGGTACCAGTATCTATCATCGCGTTAGCAGGCTGCCGATCTTGCTTATTCTTCATGGTGTTGCATACCCCTCTTTGGTGTCGGGCACGTCCGTACCCCATTCCGCTTTAGGGTTCTTCATCATGTCGTCGGTAACGTGCAGCTCCGCCGTGTCCTTGAGCGCGTCGATCCATCCGTATCCCACGCCGTCCGAAAACTGCTCCTTTTGGCGCCACAGAATCGACTCGGGCAGGTACGGTGTGTTGTCGGGCTCGTCCGTCGTGTCAAAGGCCTTGCGTAGAATGTACTTTTCCATGCGCTCCTTGGTGATCATCTTGTCCGCCGGGTCAATGTTCATGGTGGTTTCCAAAAACTGTTTTCATTAGCTCATAAGACCCGTTAGACGCATCAGGGCAAATCTTACCTCCTTGTCCAAAAAGGGCACACGAGCCTCCAGCCCCCAGGCAGAGGTCGACTTGTTGGCACGCAGGCAGTCAGCCAAGTGTAGATTCTTGACACGGCGCACCGTCTCCTCATGGAACGCCTTCTTGTCGGGCGCAGCGTGGAAGTACAGGTAGCCGCCGAAAATTTCGTCGCTTCCCTCGCCGCTGAGAACCATCTTGACGCCCATGGCCTTGATCTTGCGCGACAGCAGGTACATGGGGGTCGAGGCGCGAATCGTCGTCACGTCAAAGGTCTCAAGGTGGTAGATGACATCTGACAAGGCGTTGAGGCCATCCTCAATGGTGAAGGTCATGACGTGGTGCTTGGTGCCGAGGAACTCGGCGACCTTGAGGGCAGCCTCGTTGTCGGGCGAGCCGGGCAGACCAATGGAAAAGGAGTTGAGCTGAGGCAGGTAGGTGACGGTCTCAAGGTGATCCTCGTCATCTATACCGACCAGACCCTCGCCCTTGTCAGCGTCCTGCGCCTGGGTCTGGGCCTTGCCGGCCTCGATGGCGAGCTTCTTTTGGCGCAGCGTCTCGCGCTGAGCAATCGCAGCCACCAGACTCGAGTCTAGACCGCCAGAGAGGAGCACGCCGTAGGGAACCTCGGCCATGAGGCGCTTGCGGACGGCCTTTTCCAAACCATGGCGAATGGCCAGGTAGTCTACGGGCGTCGAGGGGACGTTGGCGGGGTCCCACCACGTGGGCTTGAAATATCTCGTCGTCTCGCCAGTCTTGGAGTCGTACACGTGGCCGGGAGGAAAGGCGACGATCTTGTCGCAGACGGGGGCCAGACACTTGAGCTCCGAGGCAAAGTAGACGGCTTCGGGTTCCTTCCATGACCAGCCCTGGTAGAAGGTGGTGATGCCAATGGGGTCGCGGGCGGCAATAACGCGGTCCTGGTTCTTGTCGTACAGCACAAAGGAGAACATGCCATCGAGGTGAGCAGGGGCATCGTTGTCGTATGCCATGTACTACAAGAGCAATGCTGTTAGAGCGCAAGGTCGCGCGAGGAGTCGCAGCATGGCAGTGCGGGGCAGAGGCATCTCTTACCAGAGGAATAATGACCTCGCAATCCGAGTGCGTTTTAAAGTGGTATGGCTCCTTAAGGCTCTTGCGGACCAGGCGGTGGTTGTAGATTTCTCCGTTGACAGCGAGAACAATGGACTCATCGGCGTTGGTCAATGGCTGAGCGCCAGAATCTGCGAGCTTGTGAGATGGGATGCCAAGGCGGGGCAGAAAATTCAATCGCGCAACTTACCGACACCGACAATGCTAAGACGCTCATGGCAAAGAACTAGAGAGTCAGTATGATGGGTTTCAAGTACTAGAGAGGCCAATTGACCATACTTGTGCTGTTGCAAATGACGCTGCCGCCTGCGCAGGATTTGTTAGCATCGTCATATTTGGTGCGCCGGTTGCGACCACTCACTCCAATCGGGACCGCGGTGGCGGATTCTGTATTGTGTCAGCATTTTTATTCCAGTAAACGAGAGGGAGAATCCTGGCAAGAAGGAGAGGATTGACATACTGTTTCGCGAGGCGCAGAGCCGTGGGCTTGAATTTATGAACGTCGGGGTGACTAGAGCCATGATGTTGGCAAATTGGACAAGGTTATGACAAGCGCGAGATGCAGCGCATGGAGGGGCAAGCTTTGCAAGTCATAGCAAGCAGGTAGAGAGAGGTAAAACGTACCGGTAGCAAGCAAAAATGCCACACATGGTTGCTGCTTGATTCGGGATTGTTTTTCTCTTTTGGTTTAGAGATTGAAAAGAGGGAAAGAATTAGAGATCGCCGAGCACAGAGAGAGAAAAAGGTTCTGAATGCCGAAGGCGGCGTGGGATTTGCAGATAAGGTTATCCGTAGTCGCGTGTGGAAAGAGTCACAGTTTTTAGGTAAGCAGGTGGCATGTAAGGTACCAGGGTGTAAAATAGGTAGGCACCAGGTAATAAGGACCATAATAATAAGGTAGCTGGAACTGGCCGCGCACAGTTTCTCGCGGGGCTACTTCTGACTCGGCGCGCTGATAAGTGACCACATCCTCCCCCGGTACGGATGCAAATAATAAAGACTATTACTTGCGCAAGGCACCGGTAGCGCTCCTTCTACTGCACCACGCCACTTTTCTCCTCAGGATATATTAGGTAGACTGTAAATATTCATATAAATGGAGTATGAATCATTTCCCACGCTGTCAGGCCCCAACCTTGAATTCTGCACACTTGTCCACCGCAAACGGCCGACTTCGGATTTGTCTGCTACGACTCACCCGAAGAAAGATGTAATACTCAACCACGCCAAATCTATCCTATTATCCGGTTTCAAGTTGGCTAGTTGATGCAGCTGAAACACAGGTTCCCGTTTTTGCCGCTTTCTCTGGATCAGAGCCCCAGATTAGTCCAACTCTGACTTTGAGCCTTATAATTAACTGGTCCCCGCGTCCAACACTGGTCGATGCCCTGGTAGGTAGGTATCGAGCACCACATCACTCGTCGCATGCACCATTACCACCACGCACGACTGGAAAATTCCTCAATTACGACGAGAATAAATGAATGCAACGTGAGCAACAAACAACCAAACCTTCAAAGAATTGATTTCGCTTCTCAACAAGATTGACCGTCTTCCTCTGCCATCTCCCGCTGAATCGGCTCGTACCATCTTCTGAATGTATTTATCTCGCCTGTAACACCGTGTAACGCTTAGGATTTTGCTTCTTGTAGTTTTCCTGCGTCATTTTGCGAAAAGATTCTCGCACAGTCATGCTTCGTTATTCGCATTCTCCGTCACGGTGCCGGGTTTTCGCGCACCACGCGGCGCACGCGCTTCTCGTACTCGACTCGGTTGCGCTTGAACAGATTGTATGCCTCGGATTGCGCCGGCGAATCGGGATTCGGATCGTCCAACAGCTCCTGAATGCCCAGCAAAACCTGCCTGACTGTAATCGTCGCCTTCCATGCCTCCGCCTCGTTGAGAATCGACAGACAGACGGTGCCAGACGGGTACACATTCGGGTGGAACAGTGGCGGAGTAAATCGGCCTGGTTACGTCCTGTTAGTTTGCTTGATCGCTTGACGTGTCCTGCAGAAAGTTTGCGACATACACTTTGGAGGCTTGATCGGGTATTCTAAACGGGCACACGCACTCTTGGTTAGTCTTTCAACGTTTACACAACGATCTCAAAGTTCAGCCTCACCATCGGGGAAAGTCACAACCAGCTTAAACAGGCCACCCTCCCAAATAGTCTTGTCCTTGCCGGGTACACCGCACTCCCACTTTTTCAGGTCCAAGACGCCTTCCTTTGTGCGGACAGGTCGCGCGTAGAAGCCAAACGGGTGATCTTTGCGCCATAGCTTGCTGCATCGCGAGCGCGTTAGCAGTCTGCAGGCAGCTGAAAGAGTGACAACTTTTAATTCTTACCGCTCTTGCTGTAATCTGGTCTGACACAGCGCCATGGTGTACTCGTAGTGCACGGAGCAGTCGTGTGTTGAGGGTATACCGGCGGCAAAGGTAAAAGGGAAAAGAAAGGTTGACGATCAAGAGTCACAAGCCTATACAGAAGACGCCCAGCTGGCCGAGGAAAGACAAAGATATGAACTGTCACGCGTGTAAGGAAACTAGACTTCTCTGTTGTTGAAGAGATGACGCTGTTTAGATCAAAGAGCGTCGTGCGTGAAGCGATTCAGTTACACTTCACTTTTGCCGCCATGAAGGTGGGGCAGCTTGTCACTTGAAATAATACCATGTACCTAGTCCAGGGTCGCACCGCCACAGGCAGCCTTTTGCCTCGATGCGTGGGGCAGTAACTTGTAAGCAATCACTGGTTCGCCCTCTCACGCTCAACCGATTGCCAGGCCTTTCTAGTGCGCTCCCTCGGCTCAACACCCAATAGCTGCTCCCGCAAGACCCTTTGCCGTCGCCATTTCAAAACCCTGGCGTCGCAAGCCACACACCAACTTCAAATACACCGCAAATTCTCTATCGAATCGTCCATCTCTTCTTATTATTTATACCAAGCAGATAACGCCATCATCAGACGAAGAAGCTACTCTCTAACCCCGCGGCTATTCGCTCCTCGTTCGGTGCATGTGGGGCTAACCGATGCGCAAGTCAAGCTTGTGATAGAACAACAGCGTACTCTCTCACATAAACGCCCTCATCATGAATTCAACTGGTGCAGCGCCGGCCACGGCAGAGAAACAGAATGTTGAGACGAAAGCCACAGATGCTTCTGCCGCGCCAACGAGCGCTCCTCCGGCCGTGGCCGTTGCCGATGTCCCCGACCCCGATGAGGACGACCTAGATGACTTGGATGGTAACTTTTCACTCACTCTCTCTCATTCATGAGGCATAGAATACTGACACTTACTGCCTAGATATGCTGGATGAATTTTCTACTGTCAAAATTGACTCTAAAAAGCCCTTGGAAACGCCTGCAGCTGCTGCTGCAGCTGCTGCCGCCGGCGCCGGTCCAGCGCCCGAAGCCGGCGCAAAGACCGAGGAATCTGTCAACCCCAAAGACACAACAGAAGAAGATTTCGCCAAGCAGCTCCAAGCTGGCATGGCAAACTTGCTCAGCGAGCTCGAGAAGTCGGTACGTACTGTCCCTTGCTTGCTTTTTTTCCTCAAACAATCTTGTTGAGCACCATTTGCTGACGCACTCACCGGCAATAGCCAGAGATGCAGGCTGAATTTGAGAGCATGTTCAAGGGCATGGCCACCGCCACTGAGGGCGGCGCTGCTTCCGGGGACGCGGCGGCCACGGCCGATGCCGCAGCCGCCACCGACGAGTCCTTTCAGGACACGATCCGGCGCACCATGGAGCGCATGCAGACCTCGGGCGAGCAGGCCACGGCGGCTGCGGCCTCGGGTGGCTCTGACAGCTTCATGTCGGAGCTCCTCAAGCAAATGACCTCGTCAGGCGGTGCAGGCGCCGACGGCGAGGGCGGCGAGGAGGAGTTTTCCAAGATGCTCATGGGCATGATGGAGCAGCTCACCAACAAGGAGATCCTCTACGAGCCCATGAAGGAGCTACATGACAAGTTCCCTGTCTGGCTGTCGGCCAACCGCGAAAAGACGCCCGCCGAGGAATTGAAGCGCTACCAGGACCAGCACGCCCTGGTGGACGAGATTGTGGCCCGCTTCGAAGCGAGCACCTACTCGGATTCCAATGCCGCAGACAGAGAGTACATTGTGGAGCGGATGCAAAAGGTAACGTAGTTGCCGAAGACGGTCAGTCTAGTCAAGGTACTAACCGATGGCAATAGATGCAGGAGCTAGGCTCGCCACCCTCGGATCTGGTGGGGGATCTCGACACAGCACAAGAAGCCTTTGCCGGTGCCGACGAGCAATGTAATCCGCAGTAGTAGAGAGAAAGAAACATGGACAAGTCTTAATTCACCTGACAAGTTGCCGTCTTTTTCATGTTTTGCCTTTTGAGCATGTCGCATCCTCCATACTCATACGTACATATCTTTGGGTGGTGAAAATATCCCAGTCAAGAAAATGGCCATCGCCATGGCTCTCTGAACGCCGAAACGCCATGCCAACAGAACGTCCAAGAATTTCAAAAAGCCAATTATTCTGTACGCCGTGTATCCTTCCAAGTATGTGCCCATATATACAGCATTTATTCCATGTCCATGTCGTCTGCCGAGCCGGCGTGTTGTTGCATCCGCGTAGCCTGATCAATATCCTTTGCCGAGAGCAGCTCTTCAAAGAGATCATCGTACTCGTCATCTGACAAGGAGGGGGATATCGGACGCATCGCCGGCGATTGCAGCGACTGCTGCTGCTGCTGATACGATGCAAACATGGCCTCGAGCTCCGCATCCTCGCCACACTCATCCGCCATGTCGTCGTCGTCGTCGTCGTCGTCGTCGTCGCCGTCCATATTCCCGTCCTCGGGCTGCAACATCGACTCAGGACGAAAACTCGAGGCTTCTTCTATATCCGCTTCGGACAGCTCTGGCGCGTCGTACGATAGGCGATGCATGTCTGCGATCCAGTTGGTTTTCAGAAACTAAAGAACCTCGGTCAGCGACAACACAGCTCCATGCATGCCACGAAGTGGCGCCAACGTACCTGTCCCTCAATATCCCGCCGCTGCCACGCCTTGTCCTCGGCCTTGTCGCGCACTCCGCGCAAAAAGTTGACCCGCCGCCGCTGCTGCGCGTCCTCGCGCCGGCGTAGCAATGGGTTGCGTCGCGTCGCAGGCGTCGCGCACGCGGCATACCGGAACTTGGGCGGCTGAATTGGCGATGACTGCGTCTGGCGTATCGCGGCGTAGGATGAGGACCTGTCCTCTTGCGCGCCGAGGGGCGAGGAGGGGCGCAGCGGCGACGACGAGAGCGGTGATGAGACGGCTGGGCGGTGGTGGTCGCAGGTGGCTGTAAAGATGGGCGCGGGGGCAAAGGATAGCATGGTTCCTGCCACGGTGTGCTCGGGTTGAGTTTCTGGCATGTAAGAGCCGATGAATTCAGCGAGATGGGGTTGTTTGATGGTATTAATAGCGATGGATTGAGGGCGAAGGACAATCAACTTGGCTTGGCGTGGACAGTGGTAATGGTGGGCTGAGGAGCCTTCCACAGGACGTGTCTCGGGGTTTAATGGGCTCTTGGACGCGTTTGGATTGGCGTCGCGCGGTCACGTGTAAAGTGGTAAATAGAGATGGAAACAGCACGTACCCATGCCATTGCTACAGCTGTTCAGCTGGATAATTACATGTAAAAATCTGATTTCCACCTGCCGTGATTCTTTCGAGTCTATCATCGAAATGGAGAAATGGCTTGCAGTACGTTGATTCAAGTTGGAATGTTCATTAAATCCGGTCCTCTCATAGGATGCGCGGACAGCAGATCAGAGCCTACCTTAACTACCTATGTAGCAAAGCCGACGGAGACGGGGACAACGGCCCCCGCCGAATCACGGCCGCTGACGCTACTAAAAAAATTGTTGAGTTATCGCGACACTGGACATGTGCGCTTTTTCCTTCACAATCAGCAAGCGCAATCCATCTTTCTTTTGCCTTCTCGGTAAATTCAGGGCATTGACAATTCCACTCTCCATTGTGAATTTTTTTTCCATCAATCGGATCATCACGCTTAGGATGATAGCCCTCGGCCCCAACGCTCCCTTTCAACGCCCCGAATAAGCCTCTCCTGGGCTGGCCTAGGCAAACATATACACAGTGTCCGATATTCAAGGGCCGCAATGAGCAGCTTTTCGCTCTCCGTTTTTGCCAGGCGGCTCGGTCCTCCGCAATGGACCTGTACAACCTGCAGAAGCCAGCTTCCTCGGACCATCAAGCCAGTCAGGTGCTTCGGCGCCACTAGACGCTTCGCCACTGCAACAGACAAGATTGGCTCGTCGCAACAGCATCGCCGCCCTCGCAGAGCGCTTCTTTTCGCATCGACAACCGCAGCTGTAGGCGGCGTCACGGTTTTCGCCTTCATCGACGATATCAAGGGCTTCTATGAGGCCGCTCAGCGCAGCGGTCGCGTCGTCTCGGGATTGGCAATCTGCATCAACGAGTATGCCGCAAGACTCTGGGCTTTCTGTGGACAAGTTCGAACTAACAGCAATTCTAGTTACCGTTCTACACTGAAAAAGAGAGCATTGATTGAAAATAAAGACGAAAAGGAAGCCGTTCTCAAGGCGTGCCACGAGCGATGCGCGAAACGTACGTTGAAGGTGCTGGAGAAGAACGGCGGCATCTTTATCAAGCTCGGACAGCATCTTGTACGCATCGGAATTTATATACATATCACTAAACGCACAACGGCTGACCTCTTTGCAGAGCGCAATGAACTATCTCTTACCCTCAGAGTGGACCACCACCTTTATCCCACTCCAGGACAAGTGCCCAGTATCCTCGTACGAATCGATTGAGGCAATGTATAGAAAGGATACAGGCGAGGACCTGATGGATTACTTTTCCGAATTCTCGCACGAGCCCATTGGCGCGGCCTCGCTCGCGCAGGTGCACCTGGCAACGATCCGCGCCTCTGGGCAGCAGGTCGCGGTCAAGGTGCAGCACCCGGAGCTGCAGGCGTGGGCGCCGCTGGACCTCGCGCTGACCAAGTACACCTTTTCGACGCTGAAGCGCTTTTTTCCCGAGTACGACCTCGAGTGGTTGTCGTCGGAGATGGAGGTGTCGCTGCCCAAGGAGCTCGACTTCCAGGAGGAGGCCGTCAACGCGCGCTCCATGCGCGACCACTTTGTCAGAATTCCGCACCTGCCCCTTGTCATCCCCGAAGTCGTCTGGGCGCGCCAGCGCATCATCGTCATGGCGTACGAGGCGGGCCACCGCCCCGATGACCTCGCTTACCTCGATGCCAACGGCATCGACCGCGACGAGGTCTCGGCGACGCTCGCGCGCATCTTCAACGAAATGATTTTTGGCGACGGCGCCCCTTTGCACTGCGACCCGCATGGCGGCAACCTCGCCATTCGCAAGAACGACTCGTTCCGCGGCTTCAGCGGCAAGCCCAATTTCGACGTCATCCTCTACGACCACGGCCTGTACCGCGAGATCCCGTCCGAGCTGCGCCGCTCTTACGCCAAGATGTGGCTCGCTGTCATGGACGGTGACATGGACCGCATGCGGCGCTACGCGCACGAGGTCGCCGGCATCACCGATAAGGATTTCCCGCTCTTTGCGTCGGCCATTACCGGGCGCGACTACAGCGTCATCTCCAAGCAAGGGTCCATCCTGCGGTCGCGCACCGGCGAAGAAGAGGCCGCCATGTCGACGTCGCTGCAGGAGGGACTCATCGTCGAGCTCGTGCAGCTTCTCAGCCGCGTGCCCCGCATCATCCTCCTCATTCTCAAGACCAACGACCTGACGCGCAGCCTCGACGAGAACCTGCACACGCGCCAGGGCCCCATTCGCACCTTTATGATCCTCGCACGCTACTGCACGCGCACCGTGTTTCACGAGCAGCTCGACAAGATTCGCGAGCGCGGGGGGTCGTTTTTCTGGCCGGCCAACGCGGTGCGCGTCGTGTCGGCGTGGTTGTCGTTTATGCGCGTCGAGATTAAGCTCGAGGTGTTTGAGCTTTGGCTGAGTATCAAGCGCATGATGGGGTTCAAGAACAGTGTTGGCGTCCTATCATAGTCGTTGGGTGTTGGTGATGGAATGCGGTGTACATATGTATACATTTTCGAAGGAAAGATTTTTCAGCGCGAGTGTAGGAATAAGGGCTGGTCAGCAAAGCGTTAGATTACCATTCGCCGCGTGGCAGGCCGTCAATGGCCGCTTGCCGGTATTCCCATGTGATTCTTGGGGTATGATTACGGTTCTAGAACAGCGGGCGTCACGGCCTGGAGTGTTTCTCGAGGAACACGTTCTGCTCGCGAGATATAGACGAGTACTAGATAACCTGATGCGGGCAGTCGCATGACAGGATAGAAGAGCGTCAATAACAATAGAATTCAGCAATAGCCGTGAGAGTGACAAATAGAAAGCTCACGTGTGGAGTTTGATGAGCTCCGTGGGAGCAGCCAATAACAACAGCTAATGTGGTATTAGTATCACGGTCTATATCTTGCTTAGATTCAAAGGCATGAGCAATGTTTATATTCTAAAATGTGTTTAATTTCAATTGACTATACGCGCGCGCTAAAATGCTAGTAAATCCTCTCAAAATACCCAAACGCCGGTCCAAAAGCAAAGTAAACTGCATTTCCAACACCAGAAAAAAGACTTGAAATTATGCAAATGAGCCGCGGCTAAATAGTTCCACCAAGCCACCAAATCTCTTTTCCGCGACCTTTATCATCTTCTCCTCGCGGCGGCGCTCGTTTTCTTGTATGCGCGCGTGGCCCTCATTGACCGGCACCGCGCGGCTCACCACGCCGCTACGCTTGCCAGCCGTCCTTTTAATCTTGTTCTCGTCGCCAAAGCCGCCCGCCGCGGTGCCGGCCGAGCTGTTCGATGTGATGCTCGCCGCCGTCGATGTCATGGACGAGTTGGTCCTCGCGCGGTGCAGCAAAGACGGCACCTTGAACGCGACACCCGACGCCGATCCCGCCGAGGCAAACGCAAGTCGACCGCTGCGCGTCGAGGCGTTGGAGTTGTCTCTCTTGAGTTTGATGCGGTCAATGACGCCAGTAGTTGTGCGTCGCGGAGAACGATTCTCCTTGTTGCCGGTATGTTGTGCCACGTCTTCGTCTTCGCTTTCAGAGCCGGCCTCTGTTGCGGGAATCAACGTGGCGTCGGGCTCTTCGAGCAAGTTGGAAAGCGTCTCTCGAACGTCGCCAATGTTGGATAATTTCTTGGGGATTTTCGTCCTGCGCATGTGGGCGGGAGGTCTATGGTAATCGCCGTCGTTGCTCGCGGTGGCGAGTGCCTGACGGGCGGGCTGCATAGGCTGGCTCTCGGGAATCGTCTGCTGACCAACGTTTTGTGATTCGGGAGCAGGGGCCTGTGACGAGTCGTGCTGCCAGGATGATTCAATAACTTCCAGGATATTCATCTCATCATCGCTGTCGCGGTCCTCAATAGTACGCAGGAAAGCCTGATTACCGGGGGTTTCGGCCAACTTTTTGACACGCTCGTCTGTGAAGAGAGCTTTCCGCATCTTGGCAGACTGGCGGCGCTTCATGCGTTGGCGCGCCTCACCATCGTCGTCAGAGTCGGAAAGGTCGTAACCGGCGCCACGCTTGCGGCGCAGCATACCTGTAGTGATGTCCTTGAACAGCTTCTCGACCTGCTGTTCGTCCTCTGCGCGGGTTCGGTCACTAAAAATTGTCAGTCATTGTTCTCGATGTATCAAAGTATTGAGTCACCCACGCATAAAAAGCAGCCAGCTTGCTGTCATCGGCATTGCTTGCAGCGGCATCGTCGATCATTTCCTGCACAGAGGCATTGGACTCGTTGTCACTGTCTTCGCCATCAACACCGCCAAGGCCGGCATACTCGTCATCAGACTCCATAGCTTCCTGCTCAAACAACTCCTTGGCCTTGCTAGTTTTAGCGTCAAAAGCATCTGTGAGGTGTCGCTTCGCTTTCTGCTTTGCCTGTTCATTCAGCTTGGCAAAAGCATCTTGTGTAGTGATAGAGACTTCAGTTGAGATGGGCTGAGTAGGCTGAGTAGGTTCAATAGCGGTCTCAACATCAGCCCTACGACGAAGCTTGCCGCGTCGCACGAGTGGTGATGCCCGAGGGCCATCTTCCATGGTACCAGGAATTTCGGTAGCATCGGTAGAAAATGGCAGCTCGACGAAGCGCTCCTTGATAGGCGTTCGAATTTGAAAGCCGCCGTCCTGAGAAACTTCAAAGGTTTCGCCCGGATATTCCTGCATTTGGCTGTCGAAACCGTGCATTTGCGACTTAAACAAGTCGATAAGAGTGTTCTGCGCAGTCCCCTGCGTCTCGGAACGCTGAGAATCCTCGATAATGCTATCCTCAGGCTGATCCATGGTTGCTGAAAAGTTGGAGTCGGGGAACTGATCAAAGTCGGGCATCATGGACTGAGTAGGACCATTGACGGTGCCCATCTGACTGTCATCCATGGTGCCAGCAAAGATTTGTGTTAGTCCGAGACCCGCTGGTCCCTTGACAGGCAGGCCGGGAATGAAAGTCTTCTTGGCCGATCGCAAAACGGAGCCCGGCGCAGCAGGAGAGGCGTTTTTTGTCGCAGCGGGTGATATCTGGTTGGTTGGCCTGGCTGGCTCAGGTGTAGCCTTGATCTCTATTTCGCCTTCGTCGTCCGAGAGCACTACAGTGACGATTCTGGGGCGTCTACGACGCGTCTGAATCGCAGTCTCTTCCGCATCATCATCGCCAGCCCCGGCTTCCTCCTTGCCATCTGTCTCCTCAGCCTCGACATCAAACGTGGTACTGACCGCGTCACTCTCATCATCGGCCTCATTAACTTGGTCATCCTCAGATCCGGAAAGCTCGATGGCTTCAACCTCTGCCTCATTTTCCGAAGCCTGATACTCATCATCACTGTCGTCCCAAGCAAGAGGATCGTTGACGGGGGTTTCTGTTCCCTTCTTCTTGGCGGCTTCGCGCTCGTGCTCCGTGACACGTTGCACCTCTCTGCGAGCCTTGGCCACAATATCTTCCACCTCTTCCATTTGCTTCTCGCGCTCCCCCACAGTCTGAACAACAATGCCCTGAGACTTGAGAAGCTCAAGTCGACGGGTACGCTCCAACTTGGCTTGCTGTCTGACCTTTTGCCTCAGAGCAGCCTGAAATTGACCACTCGTAATTCTCATATCTGTGTCCGGTGCTTGCTCAAGCGCCAGAGCACGATGTACTTGCAGGGAGCGCGACTCCTGTGCGGTCTTGATAGGCACACTATCAAAGACAGCTTTGACCTTGTCTTGAACCGTGACAATGATTTCAAGCTCGTCATCAGAGTCGGCAGAGAATGTCTTGATAAGATTGGGGAGGCGGATGCGAGACTGCTTCTTGGACTTTACCTCAGCTGGCTGCTCGTCAGCTACCTCAACGGCTTTGTCCTTGCCCTTGTCGATAGGCTGAGCATGCGCAGAACAAGCAAGTTCGTCCAGGGTGGGCATGTCCTCGTCATTATCTGACACAGCCTGAATAACGGTGAACGCATTCGCGCTCTTCTGGGCTGACGTGGGTGAGCTAAGTGGCGTTTCGGTGTTTGCCACTTCGACATCGGATTGGGGCGTAGTTGGGCGGCTTGAGCTGGCAGGCTCATCGACTGTCTCAGCAGGCTGGTCATCGGGTCTAAAGTTGAACCTCTGAAACAGACTACTCTTTGTAAACGTCTTTCGCGTCTTGGGCTGGTGGGCCAGCTGCATGCTTCGGGCCATGCGCTGCGTCTCGCGGTTGATTTCCTCAATGGCTTTTTTGCTGGCCTTGCGGGGGGGGCGGACCGACTTTTGTGTCAAGGTCTGGCCACCCTCGTCGTCGTCAATGTTTGATACGTCGTCAGCGTTGGAGTCGAGGCTGTCGAGCTCCGAGGCCAGCTTCTCCTGACGGGCTCGACGCTCGGCTCGCTCAGCTTCTTCCTTGGCTTCGCGAGCCAGACGCTCCTGGCGCTTTTTCTCAATGAGGGCTTTGAAGCGGTCCGATTTGAGAGCGGGCAAGTCGTCGCTGTCTGAACTCAAGCCGTTGTGCTGCACACTGCGAGATGGGGAAGGGCCTGCTGGAGACGAGACAAAGAGACCAGGGCTGCAAGGTTGGTCTTGATTCGGCCGAGTGGTATCTTGCTCTGGTGTAGCTTCGCGAGCTTGGCGACGCTGCAGACGACGAGGAGCGACAGGCAGATCGTCATCCGAATCGTCCTGTTCTTCTCGAGACTGTTGATGTTTCTCTTCGCTTTGCAGCATTTGTCTCACGCGTTCACGTGCATTTTGAGGTCTTTCTTCGTTTCGAGATGTGCTATTAGCCTGCATCCGGGCAGCAAGTCTGCCTCGGGGGCGGATCTCGACGTCGGACTCGCTCTCATCATCGTCGTCGTCGAGCTGTGCAAAAGCGGGCCGAACCGTAGTTCGACCAGGCTTTTTCAACGCCGTAGTTGCGCCGGTCTCTTCATCACTGCTGTCAACAGTAGCAAGGAGAGCCTTGATCTTTGAGCGAGGCGTCAGCATGAGAGCTGGCGAACCTCGACGCGAAGACGCTGGCGAGGACGGCGCGGACATGGCGCCTTGAGGGGGTGTAAGTGACGCAATAAAGTGTTGAATGCCTTCAAGTGTGGTGTACGGCAGGAAAAAGAGATAGAGTGATAAACAAGCTTTTGGTGCTGTATTCAATTAATAAATGATGTACTTGTTGAGAAAGAATATGTATGATGGAGGTAGTTTAAGAGGTGCGAGTGACGCGCGACGCGGTAGGCTACAGTGACCGCCCCCACCTGGTACGCGACGTAGAATTAATTGGTGGGTCGTCCCGCGTAGAATACCTTTCCTAACTCGTCAATCGAGGAATATCCTCGTCCAAAGCAAGGTGATTCAAAATCTAATCATTTACTCCCACATGTGCTTTACTTGACAGTTTACTCGACAGTTTACTCGACAGTTTACTTGACAGATAGCTATGATGAAATTCACACAAAGGGAGAATATATGGCAGAATTAGTTTATTGACAATGGCAGCCGAGGTCCAGGCTTATACTATTCTACCTTTTTTTCTTTCTTTTTTTTTCAATCACACTTTTTTTTTTGGTTTCATCATTTAAACACTTGAAGCAATCAATTCCAGACGGTAGCACGGTTACATGCAGCGACTCACAGGCGCAACTCAGAACAGCTTGTGCTCGAGGGTCATGTCAGACTCGGGCTCAAGACCAACGCAGGCACGGAAAATGTTGGTGAGAGCAGCGCGCTGCTTGGCAAGAGCGTTGACAACGGGGGTGCCAGGAGGAGTCAGAGGAGCCTTAAGCATATAGCTCAATACGCTGAGGACGCTGTGGAACTGCTTAAACTCGCCCTCGGCAGACTTCCACTGGATGCGGGTCATCATCTCGGCAATGATGACAAGATCAATGATGAGGGGCGAGGCGAGAAGAGAGTCCTCGCAAATGTTGAAAAGGGAGATGGTCTGGTGACCGCCCATGAAGATCTCGGCATAGTACTCATCGAGGGCACGCTTGTTGTCGGCGACAGCAGGCATATACTTGATAACCACGCAGTGGTCGGGGTGCTCGCCCTGCTTGTAAAGAACAGAGTTGGCCTCGACCATGTCGTCGACGACGTTGGACTTTGAAATCTCCTTGGAGCGGAACTGCTTCTGCGAGCTCAAGTTCTTGCCGTCGTTGTTGCCGAGGTGGTTGTAGCTGGCAATCGAAGTGAGCTTGATACCGGCGTTGATAAGGAAGTCGACGAGGGCAGACTTCATCTTGGTCTGGCCAGACTTGAAGTCGTCACCACCAATGAAGGCGTTGTGCTTCTCAGCGAGCTCAATGGCACCGGGAACAAAGGTGTTCTGGGGAGAGCCGTTGATGAAAGGAGTGCCCTCGAGGATGCAGGCGACGGCAAAAATGGTGGATGGAGAGACCTCTTCGTGGCCCTGCTCGATAGCCTTGAGCAGGTTGTCGGCCGTGTCGTTGACACCAGGGACCAGGTCAGCGTAGCGCTCCGTGTTGGCAGTCCACATGACAATGACCTTGTCGAGGGAATTCTTCTCCTTGAACTGACGAATGTCTGTCTGGATCTGCTCAACGTGGGCCGTGCAGGCCTTGCTGCCCTCGAGAACGTTGTCGGCACGATCCTCCTGGTTAGCAGCAATGAAGTCAGGGTAGTAGACGGAAGGCAGGGGAACCATGTCGACCATCTCCTTTTTGACCTGGGCCTTCAGGGTGGGCTCGAGGACTTGGGCGCGGTCCATGGCATCGGCGAGGTTCATTTTGCTGATATCCCAGCCGCCAATGGTAATGTCATTGGGATGGACCATGGGAAGGATGTTGTGGAAGGGAATGTTGATCTCCTTGCTGGTCTTGACATCGGCGCCGAGCTTGAGGGTCGAGCTCATGACGACGGAGCCATAGTAGTTGGACTGGCGAGGGCCCTCCTTGGTATCCCAGCTGAGGTTGCGGCGGTTGGCAAGGATACCGGCGGTGACGGTGGTCCCGTTGTTGCCGCCCCAGCCGACCAGCATCATGCCGATCTTGGGAACCTTGCGCTCGACTTTGAACTCATAGGGAGTCTCCTTGGGGGTGGCGACAAAGTTTCCAGAGGCGTCAGTTTCGACACTGGTAGTGCGATAAGTGTATTTGGATCGAATCTCCGAGTCGGTGTAGGTGACGTTGGGAGAGTTGACCTTGAAGGTGGGGGCGACTCTGGCGGCAGGGATGCCGCCAGCTTCAACCGACCCGTTCGAGGAGCCGTTGGATTCCGCGTGAGGAGCCATAGTTGACTAGGTGGATTAATGCAGAATAGACTGGATCGTGGCGATTGTACGGACTTCTTGGATTGATAGTGATCGATTTACTGGGTTTCGATCGAGTCCGATGCTCCTCCAGTATCGGCTGAGCAACGGGCTCCTGCGAACGGGTGGTGAACCCTACAGAGGTTGTTAGTGGCGGTTGCTGAGGGCAGAAGTTTGTGTGTAGAAACCGTAAATGATTTGACTTACGAGTTGAGAAGGTTGGAAAACGTCTTGACGACTTTTAGCGACCGAGGAAATAGATGCCTCGATCAGAAGGTTTCTGTGTTTTTTTGTAGTTGGTTGAAAGGGGGACAGGTCTGATGACAGGCAATAAGAGACGAGACTGGATTGACGTGAAAGTGTGAGTTGTAGGGTGCTCAAAAGAGACGATAGCTTGTTGTTCGAATTTGTTTTGTTTTGTATTGTGGTTGGGTGAAGAAGAGAGTCGGGAAGAGGTCGGGAGGCTCGGGCTAAGCTGATAATATAACGAAAGAAATGGGCTTTTGGAGGGGCTCAACCTTTTCGGTGGGCTTCGCTTGGCGGTTGCATTGAACAAGGGACGGGAGGGGACAAGCGGGAGGGAGGTACCTCGGGGGCGGGGAAGGTTTTGCGGGTGCTTGAGCCCATTAACGGGACCGAACCAAGGTACCTGGCTAGCAGAGAGGGAAATGAGCGTTCCTGTGGCAGGTCGTCTTGATTGGTGACTGGCTAGAACGCCTCACAGCAGCCCCACGTCTCACAGCTGGGCCATGCGGCCATCTATCAGCGCAGTAGCAATCAAGCAATGTAACATGTTGCAACAGCAAGTGGGATTTGCAGAGAAGCGGTCAAGCGGTGAGGGTACGGATACAGCCTGTACAGTCTATAAATTTCGATTTAGCGCTTCTCGCTGCCTAGGTATTCCGTGGCATCGCTGTAGTATTGTGAACGGGAATTAACGGCAGAGCCTGTCAAGAAGAAGGAAACATCTTGATGGGCTATAAAAAGTGCTCAAGATGATTGTCATCCGGCCCAGGTCCTACTGATATACCTCTCTACCTTGCCAGCGACGTGTTGTATTTATTCATCACCTCATTTATCGGAGGGGTCGGAGGGGTCGGGGGAAATCATGAACAGCCACCTGGATCCGTAGCTAAACAAAATGCCGTGTGCAGCCGATCGCTTGGCATGTCCTAACTTCTCTGCCCTCGCTGCCCCAACGCTTTGAGCACCTCGGCTCAGCTGTCACGAGAGCATCAAGACGGCACACCACAACACTGAGTCAATCAAGTTTAGCAAATAGATGACTGCAGCCTGGTGCAACGCATCAATTCCAATGCTACTCGGTTGTCTTCCAGTTTTCATTCGTCTCGCATATTCCTGTGCTCCCGCCATCATTCACACCCCAATGGATTTTCCACGTAACAAGTAGCCAGTTAGTGTGGACCGACGCTGTTTTCTATGGAAAGGTTTTCAGAATCATTAGTAAAGGTGAAATTGTAAGGACTGGGAGTTCTAGAGCATTTCTTTATATACTTTATAATATTTGCTAAATTTATCCGCCTCTCATGTGTCATATGCCCAGCGGCCTTGAAGGGACCAGTGCTACTGAACTCACTACTTCAAGCTAGCAAGGTATCGCTCGGCGCTCGCCACGGCTGCGTGGCACTCGTCATGGCCCTCTGCAACTTAGTCACGCGCAAGAAATTCTGGCAAACTTTCAAAGTCAAAATGTTGCGTTGTAATACTGGCACCTTCCAAGTAATTTGAGGGCCACGGGCTCGCCAACGTGCCGATGTGCCGATGTGCCGATGTGCCGTTATCGGCTTGTCGTTTTCATGCTTCCAACACCGCGCGATGTCGCTCAACACACAGACAGCAGAGCCGCGTGTTGCGTTTTTGAGGCTGGCTTGTCTGTGGCGTCGGCCCTTGCTACCAAACTACAGGCCGCGTCATGGCGTTGAGATTTCCGCTGCTATGAAACCATCGAATATTTCGGATTGCATACTAATATGTTTTCCAAGGAGAGTACGCATGCCAACTCGGGCTAGCTACTGTCTCAAAGCGGCTTGATCCGCCATATGACTGTTTGCGGATACATGTTGCGCGTTCCTATTTAGAGTAATAGTTCTATGATAATAATAATAAAGCTAAATATCAAGCTAATAGTTCAAGTATAGGGAGTAGCCGACAGGTCACCGCAAGATGCCACCGGCAGGCAAGTCCCCCACAGTGCTGCGTCATGTAGTTGTGAGTGCGAGTCCACGTAATATAGTTGACGGGAGATCCTCCGATGGAGTGCTGATTGTATGACACTAATTCCCGTATTGCCAGCTCAATTGCCGCCTGACAGATGGCGCGGCCAACGTTGCGCTTCCCCGCTGGCTGGGCGGAATTATCCGGCATGGGCAAACATTTTACTGTACACTGTGAGATGAATCTTTTGCCCTTGCCGAGAGAGATTGATAATTTGTGTAGATCTGTCTGGTGCAGTATTTCTTTAAAAAAAAAAAGCAGATTCATGTAGTTTGAGTTTAGAATGTATTGTAAACAGTAAAACGCAACGCAATGCTCGCCATGCACACTGGTTCGCCAACCCGACCCGCCCAGATTCCCCTTGAACAGCACATTGGGAAAAAAAAGCAAAATCAATTCAGTAAAAAAATGCAAGTAGAAAAGCCACCATTCATTTTCTTTGGAAAATCTCTGCCGTTGTCGGGATGTGGGGGATGATTACGCGCCCCTCGCCCACATCCAGGTCTTGTTGCTCTGACGCGTCAAACTCTAAATCTTGCAA